TTAGCTAACAATGACATTATTGTTCTATTAATATAAAGGGAGGTCAGGTACTCTTTAAAACAGCTGCTAGTTATGGGTACTTTGTACTTAAGTACATTTCAAAGCCTCTTTACTTTTACTTGAGTAAAGAAGTTTAGTCAGTACTTCTACTTTCACCAGAGTATTTTTAAACACGAGTATCTGTACTTCTACTTGAGGAAAGGATGTGTGTACTTCTCTGGACAGCAGCCAGGATCATCCTCTGCGTCTCCGAGCATTCGCCACGTGGAGGGAGTTCTCCTTCAGAGGCCGTCCATCACCAAAGCACCTGTAATAGACAGCGAGTCGTGACTAGCCAAGCTGAGAGGCCATCTGCGCACGGTGGGGTCCGAGAGATATTTTTGTCGATGCGCACGTCTGGCCAAAGAGTTCAGGACTGGCACCGAGATGTGCTGATGAAAGAGAGAGAGAGGAAAACACCCAAAACTTGCCTGAGGTCAGAACGAAACGCCAAGGATACAAGAGTGTTGAGTACACAGGATCACATGAGTGTGGTTATAATAATAATACACTTTATTTGTATAGCCCATTTCATGCACAAAGCAGCCCAAAGTGCTTTACAGAACAAGAAGAAATCATAACAACAATATTAAAATAAATACAGAACAAGATAAAACATCTACAGTGATCCTAATGAAATTCCCTTTAATTCAAGCTGATTAAATAAAACAATTACCAAAAATAAAATTGAAATCCATATTCAAAAGATAGGTTTTTAATTTGCTTTTGCTTTGTTATGTCCTTGAATGTGAACATGTGGGTGTTTGTCAGCTCTTAACAACTGGTGGTACATTACATTCAGCTGATGCTTTTATCAAAGGACTTACAATAAGTGCAATCAACCATAAGGTTACAAACTGAGAATTGCAATAATCATGCAAGTACATTAGCGTCAAATAAGCCAAAGCATTTTAAGTGCTGGTGCATTAGCTTCATTTGAATTGCCAAGGTGCAGCAGAAACAGGTGGGTTTTCAGTCTGGGATGGAACATTACATTTCATTAAGCTAATGCTTTCATCCAAAGCGACAAAGTGCAATAAACCATAAGGTTGAAAACATTTTGAACAGTAAGAAACCTGCAAGTTCATTGCTTTAAATAAACCATACCGTTGTAAGTGCTGGTGCATTAGTCTCGATTCAATTGACATCAATTGTTTAAAGGTCCCCTATTATACTCTTTTTCATCAATATATTATAGGTCTCAGATAAATACAAAACATGTCTCTGAAGAGTTTGGCTCGAAATTCGAAACAGATCATTGTAGCATCCGATAATCCCCTCTGTTTCAGCCCTGTATCAAAAGTGCTGATTCTGTGTCTGTTATTTTAAATGCTAATGAGCTGCTGCTGGCCACGCCCCTCTGAGAGAGATTTGGTTAAAAACAACACAATGGTGCTCTAGGAGGAGATTCAGGTGATAAGGTTGGGGGGGGGGGGGGGGGGGGGGGGGGGGGTGGGGGTTACCTTGGTTGGTGATTGGCTAATGGTTACACAAGACAAAACATCGTTATGACATCATAAAGTGGCCAAAATCTGATCAGCTCATTTTCAGACAGGTTTTTATAAAAATGGATCAGGACAAAAATAGTCTTTGTTCCTGAAACGTTCCTAGTCTCTGAACACAGAGGAGACACATATTTATGTATAACAGACATGGAAAAGTGGATTTTGCATAATAGGGGACCTTTAAGTCAAGTTGTTGAGGTTGTTTTAGGTTTAAGAGGTACAAGCAAAATCAACCCTCATGACGTGACGTGAGGTCTCGCAGTCCATTGGATCGCTTTTGCCGCAGAATTGCCCCTTCCAGCAGCTCTTTCGAGAGAAATGTATGTCCTGTATGACGGTTTGTCAGTTTATTGTCCTATGAATTGACGAGGTGTCGTACAGGCATTGCTGGTTCCCAGTGGATGAATCTTAACGCCTTTGATGATCCCCTGACTTTCCCACTACTCTCCACCCACCAGCAGGTCAAAGCTTAACCTTATACTGTGACATTTCAATATCAACTTGGGGAATTGCCCTGACATTTGATACATACATTCATCTCCCCCTCAGGATGAACTGGTATAACTTTGGTGATGACTTCGCTTTTCAATTAGCATCATCATAAGGTAAAACTTTTAATCTGTGGCTATGTAACTAAGGACGTTCCCATCAGCCTCAGTTGTGTTTTGCGTGTATTGATAATTACAAACATAGTAACACACAATATAAGACTCTAAATGTGATCTTTACACGATTATTGTGACCCAAACAATAATGTTGCGACAGTTTAAACACATTTGAAAATCTCATGAAATTCAACTTTTCAAATTCATCCTTGATTTAGGTTTTTGTGCATTTTGTCTTTTTTTAGGCACATTAAATACACTCAAAATATGATGTATTTTGAGTCTTTAACCGTAGCTGTAGGTAAGTGTACAAAAAGATAGAGATAATATGTGTAACATTATATTAAAAAAATGGTATAACAAAAGTCATGGTCAATACCAGTATATCGGATATAACACCAAACTAACTGGTAAACTTGGTAAAACATTATACTGGCTAAACATCTGCATGTAAGCATTGTCTTTGTGAGACCGCACGCTGTTACCATTAAGCTCAAAGCAAAGCTTTCCTGCCTGCGAGGCTGCAGACTTTCTGTCTTGTTTAAAACTATTACGCATTCAAATTACCATAAAAGCAAGATTCAGAAGGACGTAACCTTAGTTTGTTCATCTGTAGTTTCATCTCAGTCTCATCTAATCAGTATCATCAGCTCGCTCTAATGAGACAGACTGTGTGGTCCATGCTTACTATACACACACACACACACACACACACACACACACACACACACACACACACACACACACACACACACACACACACACACACACACACACACACACACACACACACTCTCACAGACAAACAGCCAGATGGGGTGTACATATAGATTCTGGAGTCGTGTGGAGAGCATCGCTATCAGCCGACCGGGTGAAGAATGAAGTCCTGCAGACTCCCCAAAATACACAAAAAAACTCTCTTAAAGGCCAAGGTCTCAGACTTTCTATGGAGAGGCTGGTCTGCATATTTACATTCCTTATTCTTACTGGGTATACCCTTGTGTTTGTGTGAGTGGGTGTTAGAAAATCTCACCGGCTTGATCTTCAATCTCAGGATCCATGTATTTGTGATCCTTTCCAGAATGGAAGTAGTCATCACATACAGAGCATCAACTAGTTCCTGAACAGTGTCCTTCACATGCTGATATCCAAGAGAGGGAGTTACACAGTCACAAGATGGAGGAATAGAAAGCAGTATTCAATGTTTACTTCAGATTAGCTCCACGTCAGAAATGATCATGCTTGTCATATGTCTATCTCCATAGAGGCTGAATCATCATGTTAATCACATAGCTATCATATGCCTAAAACAGTCCTGATGCTCTTCTAGGTAATCATACATCCTGTCATGTACACAGCTACCGTTGGGATACCTTTGTTATCATGTTACTCTGAGATTGGAAGAGTACATTCAGTGTTTTCCCAACAGTAGGTGTGTATAAGTGTGTGTTGTTTAAGGTATGAAAAACTAAAGCCCGGAGTAACTGTATTAGGTTGGTTGAAAGCAATAATATTAATTTGAAATAGGTTCAACTTAATATTGTTGCTTTCAACCAACCGAATACATTCATGTGAAATCTGTTGACATAATACATTTACTTTAAGTCTAGTTTCAGTGTTGGATTGATGGTTTACAGGCTTTGAACAATAGATTTTCACCTTCATTGCACCGAGGATTTATGTAACACGGGTCGTCTTTCAATCATTACGAAAAAATGGGAACGTACAGATAAAAACGACTGAAAATCTCCATATTTTTCCCCCCGTATGACAGTGGTTTCAATCACACGTTGGTGACAGATTGATAGTCCAGCTGGCCATATCTGAGTATCAACAAGGTAATGAAGGGGGGTAGGTGACAGATTATGTCTCTGTGTTGCTCCATCACGCCTGATGATGGACGGAGGAAGCTAAACATCAATGCCTCGAGTTTGTTTTGTGTTGGGATCTATATTAATGTGCATTCTGTATCGATAGAGGATGATGGACATGTATCTAAGAAGCTAGATTGATTGATTGATTGGTAGCTGATATCGATGCTGTTTTCTCAGTCGCTAACATTGACTTCTGCTAGCGACATTGTTCCTCTTTAATAGTCTTTGGTATATCCTCTTTTTTGGTGATTGGGTACATTGTTTGCTCGACTTCTTCATTATCTGACCCTGATTGTAATCATCTCTTGCCCATGCTGGCTTAATGATCTCAGGCTTAGCAACAGCACTCATGGACGCTCAGCTGTTTCATAGAAGCAGAGAAGTTATTGATATTGTCCCTAATTTATTGAGAGACAATTGTGCAGCGGGGATGATTCATGCTCTCACCTCTGCATTTAAATAAGGCCTCAGTGTATAAGTAATTGCTTTTGTGTGATTCATGCCAGCATCATGCATTCGGCTGATGGGAGTGAACTGCTGTTGATTTAGCCTCGCTTAAATCAGATCTGTAATGTGTTTTACCTTTAGGATTTACACTCCTCATTTCTCCAGTTGCTAGTTATTTACTGTAGTTTACTGGATGTGTTGACAGAAGAGATTTTTCTAAAATATTACTTTATGTTAAACACATCCAGGTAACACAGAGCAACAATAGCATTTACTTTGGGACATGTTTTCTGTCTATATGAATAATATAAGTCCAATGTTTAGTCCTGGGGTAAAAAGCTGGCTCTTATATCCTCACTATGTTTTACTAGATAATCTCTAACTCTATCTACCTGCTGTTTGGTGCTGGGAATGTAGTGTCCAATATCTTCATTAAAAAAATGTTGGGCTAAAAACAAATGTGTGGAAGTAAACCAAACAATGAAGTTATAACTTCTCCAAAGATATTCGCTTTAACAACCCGTCCTCAGACACAAAACTGGGAAGAAATGTGGCTCGAACCTTCCTGGATTACTACAAACTCAACAACCACATCAAGGACAACAGACCAACTCACATTCAAAGGTAAAACAGTTAGAAAAGTCATGAAAAAAATTAAATTATGAAATTAAATAAATTACCAAAATAGGACATTTTAATTCGTTCTGATTCGCTAAAACGTAATCCTACCATCTCATATTGTTGTGTATTTCTATTCTGCACTATTACTATTATTACTTGCACTATTTTATCAGTTTTATTGTGTTGCACTGTTGGAGGAGCCTGTGACCTAAGATTGTCATTGTCATAACTACACTGCTATGCACACATGACAATAAAAGCCTTGAAACTTGAAATAAATTACCCAAATAGGACATTTGAATTAGTTCTGATTCGCTGAAACTTAACCCTGCCGTCTCATATTGATGTGTTTTCTGTCTGCAGTACTGAGGTGATTTCCCCGACAGGCGACAGTAACAATAAGGGAAATGGTTTGGGTCGAGACGCAGAGAGAGAGAGAGAGAAGGAGAAGAGCCAGGGTGTCCGACACTAGACTAACGGACAGAAGGACACGGACTGAGCATGAATAAAACGCAGAGCACCGTAGCACGAGGATCCTTCACACTTCATTGCCTTTAGAAGCTCCACATCTCCCTGGCTATAAAGAGTTATTTTCACAGATTTGTAACAGTGGGATGACTGGTACTGCAGGACTAAAAGTGGAACAAGTTTCCTCTCGGGTTGTTAAGGGACTGTAAAATGTGGACTTATTGAATGCCAAGGGAGGACGGACTGGATCCCATCTAAAGCCCATCTGAGGCCTTTCTGCAGCAGACCCTTCTTTTGTTAATAGAATTGTGAATAAGTGCATGCTTCCCTGCTTTTTTTTGACTATGGTGTTATTATCTCTGTTGTTATTTATTATAATAAGTCATTAAACACTTAAATGCGATGTTGTACCTGTTTATTTTTTTGTATTCTCATTCAATTCCTTACTTTTTCTCTTTGGTGCAGCAGTATGAGCAATAAACGCAAAATCTTACTTCAAAAATAAAATACCTAAAGAAAAATCTCCTCCTATTTTATTGTATTGGGCTTTTTTAGTCTGCGTGACTTCAATCATATAGTCTGATATTAAGGAGAGTTGGACTTGGACAGGCATTACAAATAACTATGTTTCAATGCATAGACAGGTATAAACTATATATATAAAAAGCAACTTTACTTAGCTTATGTAGGTCATATAGATTAGGTTTCATAGTTAAAATCTTCTTGTAGTAACTGTAATGATTTTATGTAAATGAGACCTACAGTATTCACATAACATGGCTATCTTTATAGTTGTGTTGTTACCAGAGGTGGGAGGAGTACTTATATCTTGTACTTGAGTAAAAGTAGAAGTACTCAGATCTTGTACTAGAGTAAAAGTAGAAGTACTCAGATCTTGTACTTGAGTAAAAGTAGAAGTACTCAGATCTTGTACTTGAGTAAAAGTAGAAGTACCAGAGTGTAGGAATACTCTGTTACAGTAAAAGTCCTGCATTCAAAAATGTTCCTCAATTAAAAGTAGAAAAGTATTATCATCAAAATATAGTTAAAGTAGCGACAGTAAAAGTAGTGATTGTGCAGATTGGTCCATTTCAGAATAATATATATGATATGTTTTATAATGATTGATCAGTAAAGTGTTCTCAAAGCTGGTAAAGGTGCAGCTAGTTTGAATGAGTTGGTATACTGCAGGGTAGCTTGTGAATTGACTCCAGGTGGAACTAAAGTCTGATTTAACACTTGATTATATTTCACATCATTCATCCACATCTGTGAAGTAACTGAAGGTATTACATAAATGTAGTGGAGTAGAAGTACAAAGTAACATTAAATTGAAATACTCAAGTAAAGTACAAGTACATCCAAATTGTACTTAAGTACAGTACTTGAGTAAATGTACTTAGTTACTTTACACCACTGACTGAACATGGCTATCTTTATAGTTGTTGCATTGTTTGCATGTGCACATTTTGAATGATAATTAAATGCTTTAACTTTAAAGAGAGTTTCAAAGCATTCACTGTTTTCAGGTCACTTTAAAATGAAATCAAATGTTTAAATGTTGGAGGCAGATTTGACTGTTTATGAGTGTCTTTGAACGTGCGTTGGCAGAGAGAGCTTCTGATTGGTCTCCTCTTGGTCACATGGCCTCACATCCGCTCGCTCTGCCACTGTTGCTTTCTGGCAGCTATGACAACGAACTTTGAAAAGTTGGATGAATGGCTTCGAGAAAGAAGAAGCTTTCCCCCTCTAAAGTGCACAGAAAGGCTCTGAAATGCACCGTATACCTGGACATTCACAAAGTAAGTGCGTCTGCTGCTTTACTACGATACTACAACAACTGCGCTGTTAGCTACTGAGCTAACGAGCTTAACGTTACATCCTCTTCCCTTTCCTTAACATTCCCTAACCAGCTAGCTAACGGTCACCAACGGCTGTCACTCAACATGTAAATGTGATTAAATGTCGTTGAATGTTTTATACTAAATATTCCTGAATATAATAGAGCTTGCTGTGATTTAGCAGTGGTGTAAAGTAACTAGGTACATTTACTCAAGTACTTCAGTACAATTTTAAAATACTTGTACTTTACCTGAGTATTCTCAGTTTTTGCTAATATTTACTTCAACTCCACTACATTTTAGAGGCCAATAATGTCCGTTTTACTTTGTTAATAGTCACTTTTTAGGTTTATCAGCTAATACAAAATCTAAATAAATTATTAAATAATAGTTGACATATATTTATATGCTATGTATGTTTTTTTTGTACTAGTTGAATCTACTTACCCCCAAAATAAAAGCTTTCCCTGGCTTTAAATGATGTGGTCCTTTTTGGGTTTGTTATAGCTATCTGTTCCAGTAGCAGCAGCCTTTATCAGCCATTGCACATGAGTAAAATAACTAAACGAAAGTAAATAAATACACAAACAATGTAATTTGCTTTTAACCCCAGTCATACATATTGAGCCAGCAGGTTAAAATGTCAGTAAAGCACATTAAAGTAACAACCACTTTGTAATATGTCCTAACATGTGAATCACTATGGTACAAAGCTGATCTGGTCTTATTTCCACTTTGTATATTTAAGCAATTAATCTTCATGTATTTCCCTCCTACTCCTTCTCCTTCTGATATTGATTCTTCAAAGCACTCCTGGGGCTCTTTTGCAGATTTTTTTCGACATGTTTAACTCTCAAAGTGTTGCTGTAGCTCACAGAGGGATAGGCTATTTTTGTCAAAAGGCAGAAAGACACCGGAAAAAGAAAAATGACTAGAAATCTGTAACTGTAGTCACTTTTTTACACTGTCTGTGTGCAGGTCACATGTCCAGGAGTGCTCCTGACTAAATACAAAGATATCTACCTCAGTGTGTGCATCATGGGTCAGTACAGGAAGACGCCCTGTCTGCCGCCTGTCTTCCCTTTACGCTTCCACCACAAAATGGTATTTGAGAAGGTAAGAGTTTCATTCTGCCTCAATCACTATGCACAATATGTCGAATGACCATGTCTGTGGCTAGACCTAGGCAAAATATCAATAGTACTATATCAATATGGTGATGTAAGACAAGAGATTGTCTTAAATATTGAATATTGTAGTTTTAGTGCCACATGAATGTACTTTTCTTTCCTCTAATTTAATGTATTTATAAGTTTGCAGGCTGCATTAAATGTGTGTGTTTTTCTGAACTTACTTGACTGTTATTTTCCATTACGCACTTAGTCATTGTCCACAATACTGTGTAACTGTTTTGTGAGTGCTCCAATAGTCAACCCTATCATTTGATTCACTAAAGAGTCAGTAAATTACTATCCTAGCTGTTGTTTTCTCTTCATTTCTTTACATTTGAATCATTCTGTTTATGTCTTTTCCTTTTTGCATGCACTGCAGCCTTTTATTGTCTTGTTTTTTAAACGTTAGCATTCAAACTTGCCTCCAATTACTGCCCTAAGTCCTGATGAAAAGGCTACTTTGCCCCAGAAAGTTCGAGCTGTCTGCCTCATCTTGTTATAATTATTGATTTTCTTTGTCCTTACTCTGTTTTACCAGACTTTCCCCGGCGTTGTTGACCCTGCTGATGTAGCTGACCTCCTGGAAGGTAAACGGCCATCTGGGATTTGCCTCCTCATCTCTGAGTCCTGAATACTCTGCTATGCAAGCTTATAGGCCATTAGCTGTGATACTGATCATTAGCTCACAGTCTGTTTGTGCTTTCCTTCCTCTTAGCTGACACAACATCTTTTGAGCTGATTCAGTTGGTGCCTCCAGGTATGCTTTCTGATGATGCCATATGGGAGTTTTCAGTCCCAACTGTATGTATTCATTACTCGGCAAAAAACTGCTTCTCTAACTTGGGTTGTGTGTATGTTTGTGTTGCTGTTTACTGTTTGTCTTTGCATGTTGTTTAGAGGGTGAGGTGTTAGCTACGATGAAGGAGAGCAGCAGAGACTTCCTGTACCCGGGAGAAGGAGCTTCGGAGAGAGAGACACTGATGAGGAGATCTTCCTCCTTTCCTGTAGGCTACTTTCCATCAATTCCTTTATGTATATTATGTATTTCTTCACCCTGACCTGCACCAATGTTCTAACTCTCTAACTTAACAAAGCTCTAAAGACGCACCATCGGAGCAGATGTGGGAAGTAGTGGAGTACAAATACTTTGTTACTGTACTTAAGTACATGTTTCTGGTATCAGTACTTTGCTCCACTACTTTTTACTTCTACTTCTTACATGTTGAACTCAAATACCTGTACTTTCTACTTCTTACATGTTGAACTCAAATACCTGTACTTTCTACTTCTTACATTTTGAACCCAAATACCTGTACTTTCTACTTCTTACATTTCTAACACAAATACCTGTACTTTCTACTTCTTACATGTTGAACTCAAATACCTGTACTTTCTACTTCTTACATTTCTAACACAAATACCTGTACTTTCCACTTCTTACATGTTGAACTCAAATACCTGTACTTTCTACTTCTTACATGTTGAACACAAATACCTGTACTTTCTACTTCTTACATTTTGAACCCAAATACCTGTACTTTCTACTTCTTACATGTTGAACTCAAATACCTGTACTTTCTACTTCTTACATTTTGAACCCAAATACCTGTACTTTCTACTTCTTACATGTTGAACCCAAATACCTGTACTTTCTACTTCTTACATGTTGAACACAAATACCTGTACTTTCTACTTCTTACATTTTGAACCCAAATACCTGTACTTTCTACTTCTTACATGTTGAACACAAATACCTGTACTTTCTACTTCTTACATGTTGAACACAAATACCTGTACTTTCTACTTCTTACATGTTGAACACAAATACCTGTACTTTCTACTTCTTACATGTTGAACACAAATACCTGTACTTTCTACTTCTTACATGTTGAACACAAATACCTGTACTTTCTACTTCTTACATGTTGAACACAAATAACTGTACTTTCTACTTCTTACATGTTGAACACAAATACCTGTACTTTCTACTTCTTACATTTTGAACACAAATACCTGTACTTTCTACTTCTTACATTTTGAACACAAAGACCTGTACTTTCTACTTCTTACATGTTGAACACAAATACCTGTACTTTCTACTTCTTACATGTTGAACACAAATACCTGTACTTTCTACTTCTTACATGTTGAACACAAATACCTGTACTTTCTACTTCTCACATTTCCCAAACAGGCTGGTTCCTTTAGTTTGAATGTGTGTTTGGTGGCGTGATCATTATTACTTAGAGTCATTGCGTGCCTATTGATTTGAACACGATCCGTGTATCCATCATTTCCTGGTCTTCTCTAAAGAAGAGGGACCAATGAAAACGTTGTCATGTTGCCGTTGATCAGCATGGAAACATTCATTAGCTAACAATGACATTATTGTTCTATTAATATAAAGGGAGGTCAGGTACTCTTTAAAACAGCTGCTAGTTATGGGTACTTTTTACTGAAGTACATTTCAAAGCCCTCTTTACTTTTACTTGAGCAAAAAAGTTTAGTCAGTACTTCTACTTTTACCAGAGTATTTTTAAACACGAGTATCTGTACTCCTACTTGAGAAAAGGATGTGTGTACTTTTGCCATCTCTGCATAGGAGTGAAAAAGTTATTTGCAGAGTGTGAGCAATAACACCTATTTATTCAGTAACTAACAGCAAAGTGCAAAAGTAACGTCACAAGAACAGCTCTCAAGTGATCACATGATTGATCTCACATGTGTGCTTAGAGAGGAAATAGCCAATTAGACGAATGGATTTTACCCTACATCTACCATTGCAAATCCTTAGAGTTTACTCAGTAGTGTGTAATTAAGCATACATTTTAATTGGATGTTGTTTTTTATATTCGTAAAGTCCTTTATATATCCTGTAGTAGTACCATGGGAAATATATATGTAAACACACTATAGAAACACAATTTAAAAACCTAATAACTTAAGGTAAATGTTTGCTCTTTGGCACAATAACAAACTACTGTGTGTAAATTGGAGGGACTTGTTTAAATTAATATATATTGTATGTGTATGTTTGAAAAATCGTATAATAACGAGAATGTAGCATCACATTGACACGGGTGGACAATAAAGATGTATGGAAAGTACAAACAAAATCAATGACAGGTTTATTCCTGTTGTTTACACCCCTGATAAATGAACTAAATAATGTGTGGTGAAACATCTCATTAAATGTTCAAAACAAATGCAAATAAAAGACCATCCCTGGTTTTGCCTAATAATACTGCTTCAGCTAACATATCATTAATCATGACCGGTGATATTCTGTACAATCAGAGAGGTGCAGCTCATCTCTGTTTCTGTACTGCAGGCTCCTAATGTCTACTTAAACATCTCCTGGAGAGAAAAATACATTTAATTTAATCAGAATCAGAAACAGGTTTATTGCCAGGTAGGTTCACACATACGAGGAATTTGACTTGGTGTCATGGTGCATACATAAAATATGAAACAAGAAATCTTTAAGGACACCGTAATAAAATATAGTTAAATAGCAACAGTAATTTACATGGAAATAGAATGCTATGAATTAATTATAGGATATAAAATATGAAATAAGAATATGTGCAGTAAGCAGTATTGAACATTGTGTGCATTAATGTAATGCATATAGAGACTACGTTGTGGCTGAGGTAAGTGTCAGTGGGGGGGCCGGGCCTTGTTTAAGAGGCCGGTAGCGGACCAGGTTTTGGTCCTGATGGAGCGCAGCCTCCTGCCAGAGGGGAGGGGGGCGAACAGTTTGTGTCCAGGGTGGGAGGGGTCGGCCACTATCTTCCCTGCCCGCCTCAGGGTTAAGACCAAAATATGACTTTAGCGGTTTGTTAAAATGCAGAGTTTCATCACATGTTTGCAAAGGTACCTGAGCTTCTGTGGATTGAGATAACAAGGATGGATGTCAGTTGATATCTAAACGTTGTTCACGTGTCACAGCGACCCCACATAGTGCTCAGAGTGTGATCTGATGTTAGATGTGTCCTTCATAGACAGGAGAAGATTGTGAGTCTCCTTCTAATCTCTGTCTTTGTTACCTTACATGTCATTTGTTAGACGCTTTTATCCAAAGCGACTTGCATACATTCAGTACTGTGGACAATCCCCACAGGAGCAATTTGGGGTGAAGTGTCTTCAGGGACACGCTGACTGCAGTGGGACTCGAACTTGCTATCCCCTGATTCCAAGTCCAGCACACTACCCACTGAGCCACAGCCTCCCTTGTCTCACATGACAGGAAGGTACACTACCAAGATAACCAACTCAAAAGTTCTGCCTTGTCTTAGGCAAAGTTAAATCATTTATTCAGAAAACAGCGATTTCCATATCGAGCTGTTGACTCTCTGCAATGCAGACAGAGGAAGCGAAACAAAGAACTCTTCTCACTCATTCTTCATCTTGTCACTTTCCCTCCTCCTGGTCTTATATCATCTCTTTCTCTTCCTTTCCTTCATCTCTGCGTGGCTGTGGGTGGCTTTCCATCCTCCCCTCGTCCTCCGAGGCACTCACTGGCATATTTAAATGTCTTCTAACACCCTTCCCCTCAACATCGCTTTTATGTGTTTGTGTTTGAGGCCTACATAGCAATTTAGATGTCTCTTTCCAAATGCCATATTATTTAAACATCACTGGAGCCTTTCTCTTTTCTCAAATTTGTTTATGTAACGGCAGGCGAAGATTGAAGATGTGCGACTGTAAATTGGTATTGGGAGCAGAGTTGTTGTGTGTGTGTTTGTCTCCATCTTCCTGTTAAAGGTGTCGTTTGTTTCCATTGTCCGTCTCTCCCCCTTAGGGAATCTCCCCCAAAGTGGAGTTCGCCACGACATCCGTCATAGAGGAGAGTGAGGGGGGAGACAGCCGGCCTGCCTCACCTGTGAGTGTGTGTTTTTATTACATTACAAAGGTGTGTGCCTGACACTAAGTGTGGGGAAAACATTTATTATATAGGACGAGAATCTTTTTATCTACGATACATTTTTAAATATATTTTTAACTAGAAAATAACCTAGATTTGGCTACTGAGCGTCCGCGGGGTCTTCAAAAGTATTAAACGGCATTTTCCAAGGTATTACATTTTGTAGCTTGTTTCCAATAAGTATATGAATTGTCCAAAGAGGTTGTATTCTACAGTCTGCCTGAATGTAATCATTGCGTAGGTGTGTAGTGTGATTCTGTGTAGTTTATTTATGGCATCCCGTTGGGTTTGACGTCATCTGAACAGGACATCGCGCGCTCACTGCTTGATAGCGCGCGAAGGTCCGTTTACGCCGGTTGTTAAACAACATCGTTATGGGGAAATGCAAGTTTGCGTCCAAATGGTTGGAAGATAAGGAGGAAGGACAATCAATACTGTATATAGTCAATGTGAGGTAAAGTGTGTCGCCAAGGTAACCGGTTAGAACTCAAAGTGGCGATGGGGTCTTAAAAAAGGTCTTAAAAGGTTTTACATTTGACTTCAGGATTCCTGCATATACCCTGCTGATGAACATTAAACCTATACACACACACACACACACACATACAATACACACATTTGAGTTTGCCTTGTCTGTTTACATTATTGCAATTAGTGGATATAACTTATTCAAATTCAAAAACACAATATTCTTGTACACACTTTATTCTAAGTGCACACTCAAGAAGATCTTGAAATTAGTGTTAAAATGTAAATATAAGATCTCAAAAGAGTCACATTTCAAATGTATACACACACACAAACACACACACACACACACACACACAATCAATCCAATGCACTTTATTTATATAGCACATATTAAAAACAGAGGGTTTACCGAAGTGCTTCACAGCAAACATAACATTATAATAAAATATTATATTACAATAATAGATAAAAGGCACATAAAGGCTATGGACAGACAATAAAAGCATAGAAATCGATAAAACGCTCAAACTGACTCGAAAGCGAGGGAAAAGAGGTGGGTCTTCAGGCGGGACTTAAAAGTTTGAAGGGTGGGCGCACACACACACACACACACACACACACACAGAGACACACACACACACATAGACACACACACACACACACAGAGACACACACACACACATAGACACACACAGAGACACACACACACACACACACACACACACATAGAGACACACACAGAAACACACACAGACACACACACACACAGAGACACACACACACACACAGAGACACACACACACACACAGAGACACACACAGAGACACACACAGACACGCACACACACACACACACACACACAGAGACACACACACACACACACACAGAGACACACACACACACACACACAGAGACACACACACACACATAGACACACACAGAGACACACACACACACACACACACACACACACACACATAGAGACACACACAGAAACACACACAGACACACACACACACAGAGACACACACACACACACAGAGACACACACACACACAGAGACACACACACACACAGAGACACACACACGCACACAGAGACACACACACACACACACAGAGACACACACACACAGAGACACACACACGCACACAGAGACACACACACACACACACACACAGAGACACACAGACACACACACACACAGAAACACAAATACACTGCTGACAGTTTTTCTAGTTTGTTGTCCCTTTGTCTGCTTTTGATTTATCTTCTTTATGTCTGTTGTGGGTTTATAAAACACTTTAGAAGAAGACAAGTCGTTGTGTGTTGTACATTTGGTTTTCATGCCCTTCAGGACCTGCTTTGTCTAAATGTAAACAGTTATAATCTATCCCCCTTAAGTCCAGTACACAGTGTGTTATCATGTCATTTCAAAATGCCTCAAATCTGAACACATCGAGTGTTCAAAGCTCGATGAGTGAGGACTCGTCTCCGGGGGGCTCTAATGAGAGATATCGCTCGCCATCGCATTCGTCTGTTTCCCACCATACATACCCACCTTGTATTGTTGCCATGGCTACTGCATCTATCTATCTATCCATACTGGCAGTGTTTCAAGGGTATCTGTGCTCTCCTTGTGAATGTAATTACGGGCAGGCAGATCTGTGATGCTGATAGCGAGGCTTCTCTCACATCTCCCACTAGCTGCGAGTTTGCACAATGTTTGTTACAGAAGCAGTCCGTCAGCTTTTTACATTAACTACCCGAGACGAGGGTGACCTGCCTTCTCGGCCACCGTGTCCTTTCTCTGCGGAAAATCACATTTGGAAGAATTTACAGAATCGCTTCTCTCTTCGTTTTATTACTTATTTTTGATATACGGTAACTGCTAAGTGGTTTTTAATGACATGATCTCAAACACAGTTGCAGTCTTCAGTATGGAGTTGTTTTTATATGATCACTCGATTAACTATTTCAAGAGATAAGAAATTATTGTTTTTTTTATTATATAACAAAACAGTTTCTTGCTGGCTTCTCTGCTGTGAATATTTACTTCTTTTTTTGTCAGTCAGACAAAAAGGACATCTTTACTTCAACTGATTCATGGAAGAAATTCACTGGCAGATTAATTGATAATTAAAATAATCCTTATTCAACTTAACCCCCACCTTCACCGTCTTTAACTCTCCATTCATGGCATGTGGCGCAGTGGGTAGTGCGTTGGTGTTCGGATCAGGGGAGCACAGGTTCAAACCCCACTGCAGTCAGCATGTCGTTGTGTCCCTGAGACACTTCACCCCAAATTGCTCCTGTGGGGATTGGCCACAGTATTGAGGATGTAAGTCGCTTTGGATAAAAGCATCTAACAAGTAACATGTAATGTAATGTGTGCAGAAAGTAATATTAGCAGATTAAAACTGTTAAAAGGGGCGAATAAAAGTCCAAATGTAGACTAAATAAGAGTCTTACCTTGTGAGAATGTAGATATTTCACAAACAGTCCTGTTTAAAACATATGATCTATCACACAGCGGTTGGCATGTTGTGCCAAAAACAGTAGCATGCATTTCCCAGGTGCGGTAACCTGAGCTTAGCTATTTGTTTAAATGGGATGTCATTGACAGCGAGGCAGATTGTCAGAGTGTTCTCCCGGCCCCTCGGGGGGATGTCTCGATCAGAGCACCGCTGTGGCTGTCAGACAGTACAATTTCTCCATTTTCTCTCTCCTAATGGCTCCTCAGCATAGGCATTTCACAGACTGCCTCTCCGCCCAGCTGACAGACCTGTCCTGCTTTTTTATAGAGATTTAGAGTGAAAGCTACTTCTACAAATCCTCTGAAACTGTAGAGATGAAAATACACTCGGTTTCTGCAGATCTTCTGGTGCTCTAATCTTTCAGCCCTCCACTTTGGGCCAGACTTAAATATCTGAACAATTGTCAGATGGATTACCGTGATATCATGTAAAGGCGGCCAGGGTTCCCAGAGGACTCAACATGAATCCTTTAGTGTTCCCTTTGCTTTTTGTGCCACCAGCATGTTACCTCTTCCATTTAACTTATTCTCCTGGAATGATTTGTGCAATGTTTTGTACATTCATTTAATCAATTAAACAATCACAATGTATTTATGTTGCCATATATCCCAAATAAAGCATTTGTATCAGGGGACTTTACAATGTGTACAGCAGGGCTATTCAATTAGTTTGGAATGGGGCCGGTTGATGAAAATGATCCACAGCAAGGGGCCGGGAAAAAGATGGCTTGAAATATGAGCAATCATATTAAGAGCTTCAGATACAGTAAATAGTGGAGTGCATATATTGTGTTTAATTCAATCAAACAACATAGCCCCAAGGCCTTTACAGATCTAAATGGCAAGTTCAGAACTCAGTAGGCCTACATGTGAAGCTCATTTAACCATCAACATCATTTCATTCAGGTGAATAAATGACAGTTTGTCACTACAGTAGCTAGGTGTGCTCGAAACCAGAGCCCGCAGAAGTTTTCAGGCAATGTCTTCCCCTCTATCTCTCAATGTAACACCCTCTCTGGAATAAAGGCACTCAGGCCCAAAAAATAAATAAGTAGATTACTTTTTAACATTATACTCAAAGCGCCAGTAAATATCACCCCGGGGCCGCCAATTGAATAGTCCTGCTGTACAGCATACAAAACCCCCGGATCTGAGAGTCTCATACCAAAAGAAAAACATACAAAATTGATGTTTGCTTTAGTTTGGGTTTTAGACCATGGTGCTGACCTTCTAACCTGTTTTATTATCTTATCTTTTAGAGTCCAGTGTTATCCTCCATATTCACTGTGCCCACATGATGCATCATAATGACTAAAAACATTATTGTTAAAACACTCGACCCCCTCAGAAGAAATCATTTTTGACATTACATTTTATAAGATACTTTGGTTTTTGACCAATTACCTGCAAAACTAATGGCATCTCCACCAGCCTATAGTGCTTATTAGCAAATACAATCATGTTAAAATGATAAACTAAGAATGTGATCATGGGGAAGATTACACCTCCTTAGCGTCAGCATGTTAACATTGTTATTGGTTAGCATCTTGAAGTTAGCATTTAGCACAAAGCACTGGTAGCAGATGGCAGGAAGAGTGAGCGTACAGCGAAGAGCTGGAAGAAGATGGAGACGGTGTTATATGTGGGGGTGGGAGAGAACACTTTGCTTCATTTGATTAAATCAGACAAATCTCAAATGGCATACCTCGATGAGGATTTATTCATCATTTAGTTTCTCTTAAAAAATAGTTTTAATGTTCTGTGATTTCCCTAATTAGCATTCAGATGATCTTTTCTTGCAGCCAGGTAATTCCTCTTTATCATATTAGACTGGAGATGGCCGTCAAATGCAATTAACATTTTATCTTAACTTATTTATCCATGGTTGGCATTACCCGCAGGAAGTGGGATATTGCCTTGCAGAATGATGTTAGTGGCCATTAGACTTATTGAAGTGATTCTGCAGAGCTCGTCTCCACGGCTGCTGTTGGTGTACCGCTGAAGCTGAATGATTTAGCGAATGCTTTAATGGCTCTGTCCGAGGAGAGAGACGAGCTGCCGTAATGTAATTGTTAAAATGGCTGATGCATGTGTTAAGAAACCAGTGGTGTAAAGTAACTAAGTACGTTTAGTCAAGTACTGAGCTCAACTTGAGTATTTTTCTTTCTGTTCCACTTATATTCCACGTTTACTCGACTACATTTGTTTTCCACCTTATCAATTTAGATTTTTACACACGAAACATGAAGAAATTAGTAAATATGATGCTTTGATGTCAGATAAGCTATCCAACGTTATATTTGAGCACCTAACCCAGTGAGTGAGTTGACAAAAAATAAATTAGCAGCATTTGTGCTGATTGTTTAGGTTATTCTTTCATGTGAAAACATTTTGCAGTTGCAACTTCTCAAATATGAGATTTGCTGGTTTTCCTTTTGAATATTTACATTTATTTTCAATATTTTGGACTTTTAATAGTAATACTAAAAGTAAATGTTCCAATCTTAAGTTAAACATTTTTTTATTTAGGTACCATTTTCAATGCAGTACATGTACTTGTAATGGAGTATTTTGACAGTGTAGTATTAGTTATTTTATTTTAGTAATTGATCTTCTTCCACTACTGAAAGAAACATCATTGTGGCCTGCATAGAAATCTAATCTGCTGAGACAAATGTTATGTGCCATTAAAAAATCTGTGTGAGACCTCTGAGGCTAGTTTGACATTTAGGAACTATTTACAGGGTCCCTACGGTCATTAAAAACCTGGAAAAGTCATGGAAATTCAAAATGCTAATTCCAGGCCCTGGAAAAGTTATGGAAAACAATATTTTTCCCAAAGTTTTGGAAAAGTCATGGAAATGTAACCAAAGTTGCATCAAATATAATTTATATTTCATCTAATCACCGAGATAGTAATACTATAATGATAATAAATACTGTATCGTATAGTAATGAAACGTAAAATCGCATTTAACTGTCGAGGTATTTTGCTGGTGAGAGATTTCAGTTGCTTTAGCGTGTAGAAGCTAGTAAGCCTATTTGATTTGTTTTAGATAGGCACAACATGTTTCAGATGCAGACCTTATTTTCCTGTTCCATGTTCAAATAAAAATGTTTCAGTGGTACCGCTGAGAAAGAGTAATTTTTTTGGTCATGGAAAATTAGGTAAAGGTCATGGAGAAGTCATTGAAAATCATTGGTGAAAAATTATGTATGAACCCTGTATTTAAAAAATGTTCTTTCTCTCTCTCATATTCTGTCCTAACAGCCACAGACCTGCCGTCTCTCTCCAGTGAGGCCGTCTCTAACCCCATCCCGACAGAAGAAGTGTTCGCCCTCCACGCGGCTTTTTTCAGAAGAAGAAGATGCAAACCTTATCTCTTTGAAAGGAGGCAAGGAAAGGCTACATGTTGAGGACAGAACAACAAACTCTGCACCGTCCTCACCTCCCAGACGCTCCCCTTCTTCAACTCACTCTGTCCGAAGTCCTCTGAAAAACAAGAAGGAAAGAAAACCCATTTCTCCGAGAGCTTCTACAGACTACCAGCAGCCCACCGTCTCCTCGAGGACCCGAGCGCTGTCTCCTTACACCCACCGGAGGATGTGCCAGCTGTCGGAGGAAAACCGGCAGAGACTCGGACACCTGCAGCTGGGTCCTCATCGCTTCAGGAAGGAGACGGAGAGCCTGCCGCCATTCCTGGTCCGTAACGTTACATAAACTCAATCTTTATTTGTTTATATAGCACATTTAAAAGCTACCTCAGTTGACCAAAGTGCTGTACAGGGAACACATCTAAAATAACACAATAGGAGTAAAATAATAAAACAATCATTTAAAACAAGGTAAAAAGCACAATAACTTATAAAAACACATACAAATATCAAAATGTTATGCTCAACTAGTATTAAACATTACATAAACTCGTCCAAACTGAAGGCAATTGACAATTCATGTGATGGTTTGTTAAATGCTAAAAAGATAAGATAAACCTTTATTAAGAAATTCAGTAGTTTAAACAACAACAGGGTAAAAATGAAAAACAGGACGGCACAGATTCACACAGATTATAGATGAATACAATCAAGATACAATTAAAATGATATACACTTAAAGGTGGGGTAGGTAATTCACTTCAGAAACACTTGTTGTTATATTCCATGGAATGCTCTTAACATCCCGATAGCAATGACTACAATAAATGCTTTGACAATAAATACATACAAACATGTCATCTGTGGAAGCCGTGGCACTGTAAAAAGCACGACCAATCATCTGAGCCGGCTAAAATAACTGGATGGCCTACCTGCCTGTCAGCCTTCCATCTGTGCACAAACTTATCTCGTGCCCTCATTGGTCATGTGCGCGTTCGTGTGTGTTGGAGGAGGGGCTCTGTAAGGAAGTCTGAAGGAAGGGGCAGATTGTTTTCGGCTGCGTACTTTCACATTCTAGCGCACTCAAGCTGGTTTCTCCATTCTTACCTACCCTACCTTTAAGTCACTTTTTATTCATTCCACAAATATATAACATACATGGAGATGTACATAACAATCACACCCGCCTCAGTTTACAGTCCACTCAAATCTACACGTTATTGCTCACACACACACATACATACATTACCCCTTTCCTTCCAAGTCTTGGCAAATATACATAAATACAGATGACCTTTCCCTGGGTCGTCGGTACAGAAAGGTATGCTTACAAATCCCAAACAGGTGCTTGTTAAAGATTTAATATAAAAAAAAATAATGCAGTTAAGTAACTTTAAAATAAGAAATGAATTAAAATGAACATATATACATATTTGGGTCATATATACATATTAGATATATTTACATGTATGTGTGAAAACAGTGTGTATTTTCTGTCCAGTACTTTTGTCACACAGATTAGAGATGAATACAATTAAATATAAAATCAAGATCAAATGATATACAGTTAAGTAACTTTAAAATAAGAAATGAATTAAAATCAACAAATATACATATTTAGGTCATATAAACATATTAGATATTTGTACATGTATGTGTGAAAACAGTGTGTATTTGATGTACTTGTGTCACATTGTTGACCCCTTGTTACCAAACAGGCACAAAGGATGTGTAATAAAACACATGTTCAGCGGCCAGGGGTTAAAACTAATGGGATCCTGAAGTGATGTAGTTCAAACCTCAGTGGGAGAATCAAATTTTTTTTTTTCATAATCTAGTGGGCAGATTAAGTGGAGAGCATAATAAGAGAGCGCTGTTAATCTTTCTACCTGAGCTGTTAATGGATTTTGACGTCATTAAAGTGTTTCGCTGTGTGCACGTGTAATACGGCCTGTTATCCCCACTGAGGGGCTTCACTGTGCTTTCATAGCTCACATCCTGCATGGAGGCTACACACAGTCATTTGTTAACGTTTTAATTATGGTCGTATCACTGCTATGAGATATTAGCATATAAAAGGGAGTGATTTTCTGATCACACAGCCGTGGGGAATATGCCGTTGATGGACAACAACAACAACAACAACAACATCACCCTCCTTCATTTACATCAAATCTAATCCTGAGGTATGAATATCAAAATCCACTAATGTGCGGGTTTAAAAGCAAACGATTAGGTGTAGAGTTGTTTGTGTTTATCACACACATGAATGGCACTTACAACAATACAACGGGTGTTTTATTTAATAGAAGGAGCGTGTTTTCCCCCCTCTGGTTTTCCCGGGGGAATCTTCTGTCGACAATTAACCCCAGTAATTGAGAGTCAAGCTGCAATTAACAAATAGATACCTAATGAAGTAGCTTAGCCCCATGCTGAATGCATTATCACAGCCGGTTTGTTTGTGGAAAGGGAAGCTCAAGCTTTGAGACAGGTGATTATTATTCTGTGAAATCTGCTCTTTGTTTTCTTTGAGCCTTATTGTGATCTTTTTAGGGTAATTATGTTGGGTTGAGATGACAGACAGTGGTTTGCTTTGGCAGATTCTCCTTTATTAAAAGAAGAAATTACAAGACATGAGTGAATGTGTGTTTAATGTATTATTTTAAAGTGATTTCATTTATGCAATATAGCTCATATCCTTTATATCAGGATGATGCTTAAAAGTGGAATATAGAACAAATACATCTTGCTTAGTGCACTGTGCCCTAATGTTCAGGTGTATATCAGTATGTAGTGTCTCTACTTTAAAGAGTCCTCTCCTGCTGATGTTCAGGTGTATATCAGTATGTAGTGTCTCTACTTTAAAGAGTCCTCTCCTGCTGATGTTCAGGTGTATATCAGTATGTAGTGTCTCTACTTTAAAGAGTCCTCTCCTGCTGATGTTCAGGTGTATATCAGTATGTAGTGTCTCTACTTTAAAGAGTCCTCTCCTGATGATGTTCAGGTGTATATCAGTATGTAGTGTCTCTACTTTAAAGAGTCCTCTCCTGCTGATGTTCAGGTGTATATCAGTATGTAGTGTCTCTACTTTAAAGAGTCCTCTCCTGCTGATGTTCAGGTGTATATCAGTATGTAGTGTCTCTACTTTAAAGAGTCCTCTCCTGCTGATGTTCAGGTGTATATCAGTATGTAGTGTCTCTACTTTAAAGAGTCCTCTCCTGCTGATGTTCAGGTGTATATCAGTATGTAGTGTCTCTACTTTAAAGAGTCCTCTCCTGCTGATGTTCAGGTGTATATCAGTATGTAGTGTCTCTACTTTAAAGAGTCCTCTCCTGCTGATGTTCAGGTGTATATCAGTATGTAGTGTCTCTACTTTAAAGAGTCCTCTCCTGCTGATGTTCAGGTGTATATCAGTATGTAGTGTCTCTACTTTAAAGAGTCCTCTCCTGCTGATGTTCAGGTGTATATCAGTATTTAGTGTCTCTACTTTAAAGAGTCCTCTCCTGCTGATGTTCAGGTGTATATCAGTATGTAGTGTCTCTACTTTAAAGAGTCCTCTCCTGCTGATGTTCAGGTGTATATCAGTATGTAGTGTCTCTACTTTAAAGAGTCCTCTCCTGCTGATGTTCAGGTGTATATCAGTATGTAGTGTCTCTACTTTAAAGAGTCCTCTCCTGCTGATGTTCAGGTGTATATCAGTATGTAGTGTCTCTACTTTAAAGAGTCCTCTCCTATCCACTTAAAAGCCAACGCACTACAGGAAACGGAAACCTCCCAAAAGAATAATAGTGCCTCTTTAATCTACAACATTGGGTGTATGATTTTCTTTGACATCATACTGTTTTCTTGTTGTGTTTCCTCAGGTCTCTCGTAGCAGCAGTGCGTCTCTGATGGGAACTCCTTCCTCCTCACAGAGTGACAGCATGCAGCGACGCTCCGTTAGCTTCACAGCTGATCACAGCGGTACGCTACACGCTCACATACAACAAAACTAAAGCATGTCCTGTTACATACCTAAGTACCTAAAGCCATGGTGTACTTGCTGCAGGAACAACTGTGTGCCATTCATCTAATACATCAAGATTAGTTGTGATTTCTTTCCTGGTTTGATGTCTTTTTTTACATCTTCAAGATAAAATGAGATGAAGTCTTTAAAAATGAATAATGGACTGCATTTATTACACTTTTATATGTATGTGTTGTTGAGCTAGCAATGATACGATGCTTTCTGACTTGTCATAGTGTAATAATGGTGCACACTACAGCTGGATAACTTCCACTTTCACCTGTTTGTGTTTAAGGAGTTAACTCCATTTCCTGTTCAAATGAAGTACTGTAGACGTTATTCAGTCCATAAGCAGAGTTTTCTGTCTTCATAAATGTTTCTACTTGTCTTTGTCGCTGTAGATTCTTCTCTGCTGGGCAGCTACAGACCCAGAACAGCCCCAGTGAGTCTCTTTATTATAACATCTCAAACCAGCACACTACACCATGCTTTAGTACATACACAATAATCAAATGATATATTCACACAACTGTTTTACATATTTTATGCTCAGAAGATAAAGTGATTAACTATTTTCATTCAAACTAATCTTCTCATCTTGCTTCCCACTTTTACTGGAGATGTGTTTAATCTAAAGAAGAGAAACAACAGTAATGAAGAACTATTGGTAACACGTATTGCTCATGTCTCTATGAAGCTATTGGTAACACGTATTGCTCGTGTCTCTATGAAACTATTGGTAACACGTATTGCTCATGTCTCTATGAAGCTATTGGTAACACGTATTGCTCATGTCTCTATGAAGCTATGGGTAACACGTATTGCTCGTGTCTCTATGAAGCTATGGGTAACACGTATTGCTCGTGTCTCTATGAAGCTATTGGTAACACGTATTGCTCATGTCTCTATGAAGCTATTGGTAACACGTATTGCTCATGTCTCTATGAAGCTATTGGTAACACGTATTGCTCATGTCTCTATGAAGCTATGGGTAACACGTATTGCTCGTGTCTCTATGAAGCTATTGGTAACACGTATTGCTCATGTCTCTATGAAGCTATTGGTAACACGTATTGCTCATGTCTCTATGAAGCTATTGGTAACACGTATTGCTCATGTCTCTATGAAGCTATGGGTAACACGTATTGCTCATGTCTCTATGAAGCTATTGGTAACACGTATTGCTCATGTCTCTATGAAGCTATTGGTAACACATATTGCTCATGTCTCTATGAAGCTATTGGTAACACGTATTGCTCATGTCTCTATGAAACTATTGGTAACACGTATTGCTCATGTCTCTATGAAGCTATTGGTAACACGTATTGCTCATGTCTCTATGAAGCTATTGGTAACACGTATTGCTCATGTCTCTATGAAGCTATTGGTAACACGTATTGCTCATGTCTCTATGAAGCTATTGGTAACACGTATTGCTCATGTCTCTATGAAGCTATTGGTAACACGTATTGCTCATGTCTCTATGAAACTATTGGTAACACGTATTGCTCGTGTCTCTATGAAGCTATTGGTAACACGTATTGCTCGTGTCTCTATGAAGCTATTGGTAACACGTATTGCTCATGTCTCTATGAAACTATTGGTAACACGTATTGCTCATGTCTCTATGAAGCTATTGGTAACACGTATTGCTCATGTCTCTATGAAGCTATTGGTAACACGTATTGCTCATGTCTCTATGAAGCTATGGGTAACACGTATTGCTCGTGTCTCTATGAAGCTATTGGTAACACGTATTTCTCATGTCTCTATGAAGCTATTGGTAACACGTATTGCTCGTGTCTCTATGAAGCTATTGGTAACACGTATTGCTCATGTCTCTATGAAACTATTGGTAACACGTATTGCTCATGTCTCTATGAAGCTATTGGTAACACGTATTGCTCATGTCTCTATGAAGCTATTGGTAACACATATTGCTCATGTCTCTATGAAGCTATTGGTAACACATATTGCTCATGTCTCTATGAAGCTATTGGTAACACGTATTGCTCATGTCTCTATGAAGCTATTGGTAACACATATTGCTCATGTCTCTATGAAGCTATTGGTAACACGTATTGCTCATGTCTCTATGAAGCTATTGGTAACACGTATTGCTCATGTCTCTATGAAGCTATTGGTAACACGTATTGCTCATGTCTCTATGAAACTATTGGTAACACGTATTGCTCATGTCTCTATGAAGCTATTGGTAACACGTATTGCTCATGTCTCTATGAAGCTATTGGTAACACGTATTGCTCGTGTCTCTATGAAACTATTGGTAACACGTATTGCTCGTGTCTCTATGAAGCTATTGGTAACACGTATTGCTCGTGTCTCTATGAAGCTATTGGTAACACGTATTGCTCATGTCTCTATGAAGCTATTGGTAACACTTATTGCTCGTGTCTCGATGAAGCTATTGGTAACACGTATTGCTCGTGTCTCTATGAAGCTATGGGTAACACGTATTGCTCGTGTCTCGATGAAGCTATGGGTAACACGTATTGCTCGTGTCTCGATGAAGCTATTGGTAACACGTATTGCTCGTGTCTCTATGAAGCTATTGGTAACACGTATTGCTCGTGTCTCTATGAAACTATTGGTAACACGTATTGCTCGTGTCTCTATGAAGCTATTGGTAACACGTATTGCTCATGTCTCTATGAAACTATTGGTAACACGTATTGCTCATGTCTCTATGAAACTATTGGTAACACGTATTGCTCGTGTCTCTATGAAACTATTGGTAACACGTATTGCTCATGTCTCTATAAAACTATTGGTAACACGTATTGCTCATGTCTCTATGAAGCTATTGGTAACACGTATTGCTCATGTCTCTATGAAGCTATTGGTAACACGTATTGCTCATGTCTCTATGAAGCTATTGGTAACACGTATTGCTCATGTCTCTATGAAGCTATTGGTAACACGTATTGCTCAAGTCTCTATGAAGCTATTGGTAACACGTATTGCTCATGTCTCTATGAAGCTATTGGTAACACGTATTGCTCATGTCTCTATGAAGCTATTGGTAACACGTATTGCTCATGTCTCTATGAAGCTATTGGTAACACGTATTGCTCATGTCTCTATGAAACTATTGGTAACACGTATTGCTCGTGTCTCTATGAAGCTATGGGTAACACGTATTGCTCGTGTCTCTATGAAACTATTGGTAACACGTATTGCTCGTGTCTCTATGAAGCTATGGGTAACACGTATTGCTCGTGTCTCTATGAAGCTATTGGTAACACGTATTGCTCATGTCTCTATGAAGCTATTGGTAACACGTATTGCTCATGTCTCTATGAAGCTATTGGTAACACGTATTGCTCATGTCTCTATGAAGCTATTGGTAACACGTATTGCTCATGTCTCTATGAAGCTATTGGTAACACGTATTGCTCATGTCTCTATGAAGCTATTGGTAACACGTATTGCTCATGTCTCTATGAAACTATTGGTAACACGTATTGCTCGTGTCTCTATGAAGCTATGGGTAACACGTATTGCTCGTGTCTCGATGAAGCTATGGGTAACACGTATTGCTCGTGTCTCGATGAAGCTATGGGTAACACGTATTGCTCGTGTCTCTATGAAGCTATGGGTAACACGTATTGCTCGTGTCTCTATGAAGCTATTGGTAACACGTATTGCTCGTGTCTCGATGAAGCTATGGGTAACACGTATTGCTCGTGTCTCGATGAAGCTATTGGTAACACGTATTGCTCATGTCTCTATGAAGCTATTGGTAACACGTATTGCTCATGTCTCTATGAAGCTATGGGTAACACGTATTGCTCGTGTCTCTATGAAGCTATTGGTAACACGTATTGCTCATGTCTCTATGAAGCTATTGGTAACACGTATTGCTCATGTCTCTATGAAGCTATTGGTAACACGTATTGCTCATGTCTCTATGAAGCTATTGGTAACACGTATTGCTCAAGTCTCTATGAAGCTATTGGTAACACGTATTGCTCATGTCTCTATGAAGCTATTGGTAACACGTATTGCTCAAGTCTCTATGAAGCTATGGGTAACACGTATTGCTCAAGTCTCTATGAAACTATTGGTAACACGTATTGCTCATGTCTCTATGAAGCTATTGGTAACACGTATTGCTCAAGTCTCTATGAAGCTATGGGTAACACGTATTGCTCGTGTCTCTATGAAACTATGGGTAACACGTATTGCTCATGTCTCTATGAAGCTATTGGTAACACTTATTGCTCATGTCTCTATGAAGCTATTGGTAACACGTATTGCTCATGTCTCTATGAAGCTATGGGTAACACGTATTGCTCGTGTCTCGATGAAGCTATGGGTAACACGTATTGCTCATGTCTCTATGAAGCTATTGGTAACACGTATTGCTCATGTCTCTATGAAGCTATTGGTAACACGTATTGCTCATGTCTCTATGAAGCTATTGGTAACACGTATTGCTCATGTCTCTATGAAGCTATTGGTAACACGTATTGCTCATGTCTCTATGAAGCTATTGGTAACACGTATTGCTCATGTCTCTATGAAGCTATGGGTAACACGTATTGCTCGTGTCTCGATGAAGCTATGGGTAACACGTATTGCTCATGTCTCTATGAAGCTATTGGTAACACGTATTGCTCATGTCTCTATGAAGCTATTGGTAACACGTATTGCTCATGTCTCTATGAAGCTATTGGTAACACGTATTGCTCATGTCTCTATGAAGCTATTGGTAACACGTATTGCTCATGTCTCGATGAAGCTATGGGTAACACGTATTGCTCATGTCTCTATGAAACTATTGGTAACACGTATTGCTCATGTCTCTATGAAGCTATTGGTAACACGTATTGCTCATGTCTCTATGAAGCTATTGGTAACACGTATTGCTCATGTCTCTATGAAACTATTGGTAACACGTATTGCTCATGTCTCTATGAAGCTATTGGTAACACGTATTGCTCATGTCTCTATGAAGCTATTGGTAACACGTATTGCTCATGTCTCTATGAAGCTATTGGTAACACGTATTGCTCATGTCTCTATGAAGCTATTGGTAACACGTATTGCTCATGTCTCTATGAAACTATTGGTAACACGTATTGCTCATGTCTCTATGAAACTATTGGTAACACGTATTGCTCATGTCTCTATGAAACTATTGGTAACACGTATTGCTCATGTCTCTATGAAGCTATTGGGATTAAAGGTTTGCTCCACTCTTTACTCATCATTCAAGTATTTTACCAAGTGCTGGGGAATAATTTGCTTAGGTATTCAACCTTTGACCCAGTTCATAATTTTCTCCTCTCACTGTCTCCTTTCCCACGGCATAGTTCTACGGCCTTGGGTTCTGCTGCTATCTCTCTTTAGGAGGGGCAGCTTGGGCGCATTGTTGTTGCCAGTCTATGACAGAGCACAAGCCGCCATGAGGTAGTTTACTGTTCAGACGAAGGTTCCCTGGCGCACATTCTTTCCTATGAACGAGAGCTCTAGTTAGATTCAGGGTCCATATTGCTTTAGTCTCGCTGATGAAGAATGTTGATTATTACACTCCGAACTAGTTAAAACCTCGAGCTGCAGAAAGAGTTCTTCAGAATTGGTTTGGCATCCGCTGTGTCAACTCGTGACACACCACCTGTCTCGTCAATTCTCCGGCCAAAGCTCCAAATAAACCGTCAGTGTTTGCCATCAAAGCTCCAGCTCTCCTCGTGTCTCTCTGAGTCCTGTTTCCAATTGCTTCAGAAGTTTCCCCCACACCAAACATTTTACAGGAAAAGCTCAGTGTAGCAAGGAAAAAAAGTGCTAGTATTTGGAGATGTAACAACTCCCTCCTGTCAGAAAATGAGTTTAAAACAAAGCTTAACAGAGGTATGCAAGAATATGTTAAGTATAATGACACAAGAGACATAAATCCTCAGATTTTATGGGAAGGAGCAACGGTTGTTCTAAGGGGTGAAATAATATCCTATGCCTCATTTAGGAAAAAACTAATGAAAAAGCAAGGAAATCATATTATTTATTTTCGTACTCGTCATCTGTTATGTAATCTATGTACCTAGATGTGTTTATTTCATTATGTATGCTTTGTGAATATTTTCTTAAAATGAAAAAAATAAATAACAATACAGTGTATTCATTGGTTGAACCTGTCCCTTCACTTACACCCTGTACCATGTGACTCCTTCCAGGTGACATCTGGTTCTTTGAGGGTCCGGTCGTCTCCAGAGTCCAGACTGGAAACCCAGAACAGAAGTCCAGAGAGGAGAGGGGCTTCCTTCGCTGAGCCAAACTCCAGAAGCCCTCCGACTCTCAGCTCTTCACTCAGAGAGAGGTAAACCCTTCAATGTAACCTGTCCTTGAACACACTTGAGCTATTGTGGATCTTGTAAATGTAACACAACTTTAACAGGGAAATATACACGATCACCAAAAGGCACTTCAGCCCCTTCATCATCATCATCATCATCATCATCATCAATATAACAGCCGTGAAATATGATCTTATGTTCTTAATGTTTTCTTAGAAAAACCTACTTTGTTTTGACTACACTCTAACACAGGTTAGCAAGAATGTTCTGGCACCAAAACCACGTTCAGCAGGAATCCACATAATCCTCTCCATGTGCTGTTTGCCCTGAATTTATCCCCCTCCGTCTGTCTAAATCACTTGTTTGCTCAAAAGATCTCAAAAGCAAAAGAGGCACCTGTACGAGTTTCCAATTACAGTATACGACAAATATATGACAATCCCATGAGATGTTAGTCATACACTACCGCCTCGTGTGTGTGTGTGTGTGTGTGTGTGTGTGTGTGTGTGTGTGTGTGTGTGTGTGTGTGTGTGTGTGTGTGTGTGTGTGTGTGTGTGTGTGTGTGTGTGTGTGTGTGTGTGTGTGTGTGTGTGTGTTGTCTATGTCTCTCTCTCTGTGTGTGTCTATGTCTCTCTCTGTCTCTCTCTCTCTCTGTGTGTGTGTGTGTGTGTGTGTGTGTGTGTGTGTGTGTGTGTGTGTGTGTGTGTGTGTGTGTGTGTGTGTGTGTGTGTGTGTGTGTGTGTGTGTGTGTGTGTGTGTGTGTGTGTTTGTGTGTCTATGTCTCCCTCTGTCTCTCTCTCTCTCTCTCTGTGTGTGTGTGTGTTTGTTTGTGTGTCTATGGCGCCGTTTACACGAGGAGAAAACTGCTTGTATCTGCATAGTTTCGCGTGCGTATAGCCCTATTATTTACACGATGCCGATAGAAACTGACCCTACAAACGATAACGGGTCCCAAGGTGGATAGATTTGCAAACGAAACGCTCTGGGGGGTCAACCGAGTCCGTGTAATCACCTATACAAATATTTCCTGAAAAAATAGCGATAGCCCCGCCTCTCCCCACCTCTCCTGCTCACTGCTGTAGCAACTATCAAAAATAGCTGTGTTCATTAAACACACAAGGGGTTCTTGAATGAAATAATATTATAAAAGGCAAACCAGAATAGTTAACGCCCAATATACTCCTTAAACAAAATAAACAGAGTCAGATTTCATGCATTGATCCATTATATTGACAAAGGAGGATCTCACCCGGTGTTTGTAGAGAATATCTCTCTTTTCTGAGCGGGTCCTCTCCACGGAGACGTCGGTCGATGCAATATCCACAGATTCGGTTTCTTTCAGTTAACTTCCCCGTTGCATTTATCCATATGCTGAGGAAATGACTATATCCCGCTGAATACCAGCAATCGCCACACACACTTCCTCCTGTCAGTAGCTACTGCTAGTGCTACTGCTACTGACCATGCTACAGATATTAGTGCAAAAATCTACAGCTCCTCTACCACAACCATCAGCAACAAGTGGACATGGAGAATTACATGAACTACATGTTGCTAAATACACCGCGGGGCATGAACAGAAGGGTAGCCATGGCAACATTGCGGCGGGGGCTGCTCTTCTTCGCTGCTTTTGGTGTATTTTGGCGGAAGTTACAGCGCCACTTACAGTCCCGGCATATGTACTACAGCGTTTCCAGCGGCCTCGTTTGAACAGACACGTTAAATGAAACAAATGCATGTGAACGGAAGACTTTTTTTAAATACGCATACTGTGCATAAACGCAAACGGTCCCGTGTGAGCGGGGCCTAAGACTCTCTCTGTCTCTCTCTCTCTCTCTCTCTGTGTGTGTGTGTGTGTTTGTTTGTTTGTGTCTGTGTGTGTGTGTGTGTGTGTGTGTGTGTGTGTGTGTGTGTGTGTGTGTGTGTGTGTGCGTGTGCGTGTGCATGTGTGCATGTGTGAGCTCAAACATCTCATCTAATCTTTAATTTTGATCACACTCGACAGCCGGTATGATTCCCCCTCCACCTCTTAAATGACAGAAGCTGATGTCTTGTCATGTTTGTTCATCACTGCGCAGGCAGAGGAAAACAAAAGGGGAAAATGCTATTGATTTGTGTTTCAGCTCGAGTGTGATGCGTTTGACCCGATGCACGCTTTAATACATTCACTGAGACCTTGTCATCGATCACGGCGACGCAGCGAGCGATGTTCTGTTTTCTTTGTTTGTTTGTCTCTGCTCAGTCCATAAGTAAACATTAAAATCAATAGACAATCTTAAACTGCAAAGTAAATTGTAGGAAATGAATGATACTCTTCTCTCGAATGAAAACGCGACAGGAGTTGCAGGGTGGGAGATTAGAGCCGGCCTTTGTAGATTCCCTCAGACAGGCAGAGGGGCACGTCTCGCACCAATCTTTGATCTATAAAGAAAATGACAGATGCCAGTGGCAGCGTTTGCTCCCTAAGCCCCGAAGTCTCGCTCCATTCATGTCTCCCATGATTTGTCCTTGATGACTTTTTGAAGCAGGTAGCGAGTTTATCTGATTATAGATGAAAAGAGACGACGTCCAGTCACTCATCTCGCTCCCACTCCCCACAAATAGACGTGGACGAGAGGCAATACTGGAATGTATTACTGTGCACTTCTTCTGTCTGTGTCTCACAATTGCCTGCGGGCAACTTTTTATATTGTGTTGATGAAGCACATTTATGTCTCCCGCTGAAATGCATTATTGGTTCTGTCAATTGTGAAATTACTTTTTGTTATTCTCTGGCACAAAGGGGTTGAATGTAGAAGGACGAAATGCTCTGAGTTTGTTTCTAAAGAATGTTTTGAACACAGTACATCTGAAGTGTGTGTTGAGTCTGGTGGTTTTATATCTGGACTCTCAGGTCTTGTGTTGTGTTACAGCGCACACTAGTGGACAACAGCGGTATCTGTGGGGAGCTCTGGGAAAAATACAGGCTTAGTTTAGAAGTTAAATGATATTGATTATCAATTATTTTACAATGTTTTTACATTCAAAAATGACTTTTGGTTGCAGCTTCAATGATGTGTGGATGTGCTGTAGTGATGGCGAGATGAAGCTTTGAAGCTTTCCAGCCAATTGGTTCGCAAAAGGGTTTATCTCATGAGGCTTCATCATGGGCTTCATCTGGACACAAACCCCCTGTTGGTCAAAGTGTGTAAAACAGGCAGACATCTCTATGTGTGCTGTATCTCATACCGAGTTCCCAATGAGTAAAGCCTTAGAATAACTCTTAATTAACAATGTTGTATTTATTCCAGTTTAATGATTGTGATTGAAAAGCCTAAGGAGGCTGGTAAACATTGCAAAGAGGGATTTGTATTCCTTCATAATATTCGTAGACTTAACCATGTTGTAGCCTGAGAAAGGCTAAACCGTATCAAAGAATACATTTAACTACATTATCTCATTTAGCTGTAGCTTTTATAAACAAACAAAAATACTTATTGACCAGTCGTTGAACCAGGGACCCTGCGTTCGGCTGAGCCACAGCCCACACACTGAATCTATTTGAAAACACTGCACGCTATTTATTCCTGTTTTTATTCCTACTTTTATTTATGCTTTTATTCATTTATACTTATGACATGTTCCGACCTCTATATAAGTGAGCTCTCTTAATTCCATCGTGTCACCGGGCCCGGGTACAGGAGGGGTAATATGGTTCTTATTATACATCCATGGGTAATATGAGCGTTGTGGTTCAACCGATCTAAAGCACTTCCTGAAGCAGTCACGTGGTATCGAGGGGCAGCGAGGCTTCGTTGGTCATCGGTGACGTCACTGGCCCAAAACGATACAAGCCTCGATACAAGCTTCACACGAAGCCTCGGCGCAATACGTAACATCACTAGTGTGCTGCTTGTCATTGTATCATGTACCATTGTAACTTTATATTTATCCACATTTTCTGGACTAAAGCTACTTTGCCATGAGCTTTTTTTCAGATATTGGCAACATACTATGACGTTTTTTGACACACTGTATTTATTTTTTTCTTGTATTTTAGATATACTATACTCGTTATTTAACGACAAACTATGATGTTCTTTCTGGATGTTAAATATACTAAACTATGACCATTTGTTCTGATATTTTTGGACATTCTATACTTACAATAATACTTGAATATGTCATTTTTAGCAGATGCTATACTATGGGTTTTTTCTACATATGTGTACAAGTTTCTTTACAATATTGTCATCATACTATACCATACTTTACGACATACTTCTGATACTTTCAACATAGTATACCATGACTCTTTTCAACATACTACACTTTGACATTTGATATTTTACTAATATTGTCAACATGCTAAACGATTAACTTTTTTTAGACATACTGATATTTTTGACATACTACACTAAGCCTTTTTTATTGCAACTATTTTATGACTTTTTATTGGACATCAATATAATTGTTCCTATCAAAGCAAATCTATGTGTCAGCCTAAATGAAGGCAGGTAAATACGAGTCAAACTCTTTTCATTGGTTTTCATTTGACGTTCCTTTGTGTTTCTTTCCCCTCAGGCTACGGACCAGTCAGATCAGTCCCTCCTACAGCGAGCAGATCCACAGAAGAGTCCGGAGGATTCTGCAGACGCACAAAACCACCAAGTGACCTTTGACCTTTAATTTCCCAATCTGTGCACGAGGGGACCGAACGACAGAGGCTTCGATACAGACGTTTCACCGCTAAACGACTCGAAATCAATACGTCCAATTCAAATTCTGTAGGAGTAGATACACACAGACACGAACACACCTTTATAACCTCAGGGTCACTCAGGTAAACATCTCACACACATCTTCATTTACATCCTTTTGATTTTAGTGTCACACCTTTCCAAGCACCTGGTTGTTGTTGTTGACCTTTTGAAAGGCGGGACAAAAGTTCAAAAGACGTTTCACCGCTTAATCACGAAATCAAATCAATAAGTCCAATTCAAAGTCTGTAGGAGTAGATACACACAGACACTAACACACCTTTCTAACCTCAGGGTCACTCAGTTAAACATCCCTTTGATTTTTGTTTCACACCTTTCCTAGCACCTGGTTGTTGTTGTTGCTACCCTTTGGAAAGGCGGGACATTTGCAGGGGTTTCGTTCAAAGCAGTGTTTTCCCTCCCACTCATCAGCTGGGCTTTTTCCTCCTGGATGGTGAGGCCAAATGCAGACGTCCTCTAATGTCTCTAAAGCTGTGTGTGGAATTGGCTCAGGTATAAAGAAGCTGTGTGTGTGTATATAGAAGGAGACATGGTGGATGTAAGCTGTTAAGAGCTCATCTCTCTCAACACAAAGACAGACACGAAGGTAGCCCAGAGCCACGAGAGACTGAGGAGATTTAAGACGAGAAACAAAAGTAATCCTGCATCAAAGACACAAATTAAAACGGTCATTCTCATCCATAGTCTTACACTGAAATGTGTGTCAGAGCTCTTTAAAATGAACAATGTGTGAAGATTTCATTCAAACATGGTGTGAAGAGTGTGGGAAAACTTTCACTACATCAGGTGATCACACGTATTCACACTGGAGATAAACCATTCAGCTGTGACCAGTGTGACAAGTCATTCACTACATCAGGTCATCTTAATTCTCAGGGTTCATACACTTTTTCACCAATGATTTTCAATGACTTCTCCATGACCTTTACCTAATTTTCCATGACCAAAAAAATGACTCTCAGCGGTACCACTGAAAACGGTTTATTTTAACATGGAACAGGAAAATAATGTCTGCATATGAAACATGTTGTGCCTATCTAAAACAAATCAAATAGTAGGCTTACTAGCTTCTACACGCTAAAGCAACTGAAATCTCTCACCAGCAAAATACCTCGTCAGTTAAATGACATTTTATGTTTCATTACGATACAGTATTTATTATCATTATAGTATGACTATTTCGGCAATTAGCTAAAATGAAAATTATATTTGATGCAACTTTAGTTAAATTTCCATAACTTTTCCAGGGCCTGGAATTTGCATTTTGAATTTCCATGACTTTTCCAGGTTTTGAATGGCCGTAAGAACCCTGCATTCTGGTGTGAAAAAACCTTTTCTCATGGTAGTAATCTTAAAGTCCACCAGCGCACTCACTGGTTCATGACACCATCATCACTGATACAAGCAGTCAATGACATTTGAAATGATCAATAAGGAACAGTTTCCATTCTGCAGGAACAGAGGTAATAGTGATAGTTTTGAGCTTTCTTTGGAGCAGCTAGGATACAATTATTGGTCATTTTATTTCCCTTTCCTATTTATTCATCTCATTGACTCATATTAATCACGAGTGCAGTACAAAACTACTGAACTTCTTTTCACATACTTTTAATAACCCTCAAGCATCTTTTTAAAAACGTTTATTGCTTATGACATGTCTGAAACATGCACATGTAGTATAACATTACACATTTATTTTGAATCGAGTTCAAAATGGCTTTTGTTGTTAGTATTAGCAGTTATGAAACACTTTAACTCCTGACTGAAGGAGCTGGAGTATATTTAAAAAATGTCCTCCACAGCGTATCCTCTCCTTCCTCTTTGTGGGTCATTACAGAGACAGCATGTTATTTAAATTCAGCGTCATCATGTTCCTTAAATCTTTAGTTTGTGTTACTCTGCTTCTCTCACGATTACCAAAAGCAGCAGTAACTTAAAGTTTAGAAAATGTAAATGTATTTAAAATGTTGTAACCCCAGCATCTCGACAGTTGAGATGCTGGGGTTACAACATTTTAAATACATTTACATTTTCGAGTAGCGCTGATAAAGAACAGTGTGTTGATATTACATGTTATAGCCATGTGTTCACGACGTGATAAGTTTAAATTACAAGAAAACCAGTACAAATGTTTGTGCTGGTCGCCAAAAATTTTTTTTTTAATGTTCACATTTTTATAAAGACTATGATTACTGTGCAGCAATACATTTGGGAGACACAGGTCCATCTGATTAAAAAATTGATAATATCAATGAGACGGCGCTCAGAGTTCATCACACGGCGTCTTCACATTTACTTCTTATGGAATTTGCTCTTCTTCTTGTTCTTCCGGCCGGCTCCCTTCGCCGCTCGCTCCGTCAGGATGTGCTGGTACTTCTTCTTGTTGTTCCTGGAAACACGAGAAGAGCATGGTACGTTTAATATAAAGTATATCTGCAGTAATGAAATACATGAGGGGTGCGGTCGAATAGTCCGTTTAGCTTAGGAACATTCCTAACGGAGTGAAATGACCCGGAAGTACCAAAGTGGCAGCCATGATAAGAGCCGTTCGAATTCTCTAGATCAGTGGTTCCCAACCTGTGGGCCGCGGCCCCCCTAGTGGTCAGTGAAGGCATTGCAAGTGGGCCGCCAAATACATATTTTTTAAAAAGCCACCCCTTGATTTTGTGTGCCAATAAATTTTTTCAAAAAAAAATTATTTGTAATGTACTCTTCAAACACATTAAATTAAGATTACTCCTTGATTGACTTTTAAAAATATGTATTTTAGCCAGAAGAATAGTTTATTATTAATATATTTATTAACTGTGTGCGGTCTTTAAATGTAAATTCAATATTTGCCGCCAAATAATTTGCAAAACATTATGATTTGTGTTGAAACATTTCATTACTAAGATTTCTTTTTATTTGAACCTCTTTTCCTTTCTCTATCCTCCTTAGCAACGGTCATTACAGTCCTTAGCAACGGTCTGTACTACTGGATTAACAACGTGTCACATGTTCTGAATTGACCAATCAGAACTTTATTTAGCCTCTGTATTGTTTGTGGTTGAATGTGGGCCGCGAATCATTTTTTGATTCTTAAGTGGGCCCTGAGTTGAAAAAGGTTGGGAACCGCTTCTCTAGATGATAGGAAAGGAGCTTTGAAATATCCTTTATAACCTCCTTTAGCTTAGGAACCACTGGACCTTCCTTTACGACAAGCATACATTTCACTTCACTTTTTTCATTTCAATTCCAACCTTGGTCATAAGGAATAAATGTTTCTCAGTTGTCCACGTTCATAAAGAATAAAACACCATCAGCACGGTGCAAAGTATCTAGATGCGCTTAAAGTAGTCCGCCGTTCTTATTAAACATCCATGTAGTCCGCTGTATAGAAAACTGTAGTTTCCCCACAGCAGCAGACGCACATTCATGACGTCATAAATACGTAGATGGTGAAAGTGCAGTCGGATTCTCAAAGCACTGCAGTCTCTTCTCCCAAGTCCTTTTGAATTCTCCTATCCACTATTCCTTAACCCTGTGACGTTTCACTCAGAGGTCGAGGAATAGTGGTTAGGAAAAGACGATAGGAGCTGATTTTTGGACAATTCGACTGCGACCTAGGTTTCCCTGACAATTGACTGTGTCACACGAGGCAAAATATTGTGATGTTAAACTTTGTGTTACTCACTGTCTGAACTCAGCGTCGTTGAGCAGCTCCTCCACCATGGTCCGCTTCCTCTGTTTCATGGGGACTCTGGAATGATAGAAGTCGATGGGACTGTCCACCACCGTGCCCACCTGAAACACACGTTACAAACCATTACACTCAAAACATGTATAAATATATCTCCTGTGAGTAGTCACCTATTTATTTGGGACATGTTTGCGTCGCAGCAGCATAAAAACACAAGGCATTGCACATTAGAGAAATTAAAAGACTAGAAATAAACAATACAACATGTATCTCAAATAGAAATAAAATAGCATAAAAAAAAAAATGAAAATATACATGAAATACACATTTACAGTAACAACATATAAATCAGGATATTATATATACATGAAGTGTGTGAGGAATGGAATATTAAATTGTAAGAGTTATTGCAGTTGGCATGTTTTCCTGTATCTGTCCTTAAACATTACAGAACACTGTAAAATATCAAGTTTAATTTCACATCTTGTTCTATTTTTTGTAAATATTGTTCTTATTCCCGCAACCTACTTGCACCATTATGTGTATGACATTATACTATGTATTTTCTTTCATTTTCATATCATATTTTGCATTGATGGAGGAGCCTGAGACTTATGGCGCATTTCCACTGCAGCACGTTTTAAGCGTGCCGTGCCAAACCCGGCACGTTTTTTGCTGCGTTTCCACTAGGCGTAGTTCCGGCTAACGGGTACTTTTTCAGTTTTCTGGCTCTCCAAAATCCAGGTTCTTTCCGGGCCAACAACCGGGCTGAGTATGCTAAACTAGTGAGAGAATCGCTGGCAAGGGGTCTACAACTACAACAAAATGAACATATTTGACCGTGATTTAATTGTAATACACGTTTCAAAATGATGCCGAAGTAACAACATACTGATACCGGTTAGTAAAAACCATGAATTAATGCTTTGTCAAGTCTGCAGACAGACGGCAGGGGAAACACCTTTTAAAATGCGTGTTTTCTAAATGGAGATTGGCTAAGCTAACGCAGTATATGCTCCGACCGTCCACACTCACAACAACGGCCTATACAGACATAAATAAAGCAGCGACTGTATTCACCATGACACAGGCAGTCTGTGGTTTGTACTTGTTTAACTTTTGTCTAGTTTCTGAACAGATATGAGGAGCTGTGAGCTCTGAGTGCTCACAGCTAACGGCTGATGTTTTGGTTTTGTGTTTCGCATTGAAGATGACGTCACGGCTCCGCCTACACTGCGTCCCCGGTGTGTCGGGGAACTCACGCAGTGTCAGAAAATAAAACCCTCTCTCTTTTCCTCCGTACCCACATCTCTAAAAACGGGGGAACAACGGAGCAGATCCAGATTTGCTGCCGATATGACGTAATATCTGAAATGTGGGCGGGCTTTACGCTGAAACCTATAATGTAGGCCTAAAAATAGTATAATAGGAGACCTTTAAGATGTCCATTGCCAAAACTAGGCTTTAACAAGTGTGCATGTGACAAAAAACCTGTGATGCAGATTATTAGAAGCTTGATACGGGAAAATGTAGTTACTTATCCAGACTACCAAAAGGTGTTTGGTTTTTTTCCACCGACCTGGAAATATTTGGGGAATCCTTCTCTGTCGTTCTTCTTGTAGAACCTCTTGGAGTCCATGGAGCCTCTCATCTTCAGGACCTGCAGGTCGGCCTTCAGCTCCTGAGTCAGCTCCGGGGCTTTCATGTTGAACCAGCCGTCTCCCGTCGACTTCTCCCTCTCCGCCTGACAAGAACACAGAGAGTTACATTAGTTAGAAAGCATGTATGAAGCAGAATGTGATTCAAAGCCGTGTCTGAACAGTATTTATGTTGTGATTCTGGGCAGGATGTGTCATAAGTGGATTTCCAAGTAAAACAACAGTTTGGAATAAAGCATAGCATGGTCAAACTTACTCTGTTTTTCAACTTTGTGGCTTTTTTGGCTTCGCTGTACGGAGGAACTGCATCATTCTTCTCAAAGTCTGGTCCCATCACACTCTTCTTCATCACCTGTGGATAACACACACACACACACTGAAACTCTGCAAACTACACACACTCTTCTTCATCACCAGAGGTGGGAAGTATTGGAGTACAAATACTTCATCATTGTACTTAAGTACATGTTTCTGGTATCAGTACTTTGCTCCACTACTTATTTTTCTGACGACTTTCTACTTCTTACACTTTGAACACAAATACCTGTACTTTCTACTTCTCACATGTTGAACCCAAATACCTGTACTTTCTACTTCTTACACTTTGAACACAAATACCTGTACTTTCTACTTCTCACATGTTGAACCCAAATACCTGTACTTTCTACTTCTTACACTTTGAACACAAATACCTGTACTTTCTACTTCTCACATGTTGAACCCAAATACCTGTACTTTCTACTTCTTACACTTTGAACACAAATACCTGTACTTTCTACTTCTCACATGTTGAACCCAAATACCTGTACTTTCTACTTCTTACACTTTGAACACAAATACCTGTACTTTCTACTTCTCACATGTTGAACCCAAATACCTGTACTTTCTACTTCTTACATGTTGAACCCAAATACCTGTACTTTCTACTTCTCACATGTTGAACACAAATACCTGTACTTTCTACTTCTTACACTTTGAACACAAATACCTGTACTTTCTACTTCTCACATGTTGAACACAAATACCTGTACTTTCTACTTCCTAAATGTTGAACACAAATACCTGTACTTTCTACTTCTTACACTTTGAACACAAATACCTGTACTTTCTACTTCTCACATGTTGAACCCAAATACCTGTACTTTCTACTTCTTACACGTTGAACACAAATACCTGTACTTTCTACTTCTTACATGTTGAACACAAATACCTGTACTTTCTACTTCTTACATTTTGAACACAAATACCTGTACTTTCTACTTCTTACATTTTGAACACAAATACCTGTACTTTCTACTTCTTACATGTTGAACACAAATACCTGTACTTTCTACTTCTTACATGTTGAACACAAATACCTGTACTTTCTACTTCTTACATTTTGAACCCAAATACCTGTACTTTCTACTTCTCACATGTTGAACACAAATACCTGTACTTTCTACTTCTTACATGTTGAACACAAATACCTGTACTTTCTACTTCTTACATTTTGAACCCAAATACCTGTACTTTCTACTTCTTACATGTTGAACACAAATACCTGTACTTTCTACTTCTTACATGTTGAACACAAATACCTGTACTTTCTACTTCTTACATTTTGAACACAAATACCTGTACTTTCTACTTCTTACATTTTGAACACAAATACCTGTACTTTCTACTTCTTATATTTTGAACCCAAATACCTGTACTTTCTACTTCTTACATGTTGAACACAAATACCTGTACTTTCTACTTCTCACATTTCCCAAACAGGCTGGTTCCTTTAGTTTGAATGTGTGTTTGGTGGCGTGATCATTATTATTTAGAGTCATTGCGTGCCTATTGATTTGAACACGATCCGTGTATCCATCATTTCCTGGTCTTCTCTAAAGAAGAGGGACCAATGAAAACGTTGTCATGTTGCCGTTGTTCAGCATGGAAACATTCATTAGCTAACAATGACATTATTGTTCTATTAATATAAAGGGAGGTCAGGTACTCTTTAAAACAGCTGCTAGTTATGGGTACTTTTTACTGAAGTACATTTCAAAGCCCTCTTTACTTTGACTTGAGTAAAGAAGTTTAGTCAGTACTTCTACTTTTACCAGAGTATTTTTAAACACAAGTATCTGTACTTCTACTTGAGGAAAGGATGCGTGTACTTTTGCCCTCCTGCCTGTGGACAACAACACACTGAAACTCTGCAAACTATCCACACACTCGGAGATAAAAGACACAAAGAACTGATGAATAACTCTTTCTCGCGCGTTATTGGATTTACTCGTCCTTGCATATCTATAAAGTTTATTATTCACTCTGCATCACATATCAGCTTCAAAAGGAGGAGGGGAATCAATGGCTTATTTACCTCATCTTGGATCTTCTTGTCCCTCAGTTTCTGCAGCGAACTGGAGACGACTTTTGATTTGCCGCCATCAAAATTGATGTATAACCCGCCGAGCTCCTTCATCCTGATGCCAGGGTCAATACGGCTGGACAACTCTTTCCTGGAACAGATTGATTCACAGAAAAAACTCTTCAGGCACACATATAACGATGATTTATAACAATAATGAGCGTGGCTGTACTTCCTAAATCGGCTCCGCTCTTAAAGGTTTTTCTGTATATTTGAAAAGAACAGAAAACCCAAGAAAAGATCGATACCAAAGTGTTGGAGCCAAAATTAGGAGTTTAATTGTGTATAATGGAGACTGCTGTTGTTTATTAATTGCAGTTTAAAAAAAAGATATCAGTGAACTCTGTTTGAAGAGGACAGGAAGGAGCAACTAGGACGTTCGACAAACTTATTAAAAGATGCACTATTACTTCTGGTTTTGGTCTTTTTGTGGGATTTGTCTACGACTTTAGGATCCATCATTCTGGACGACTAGCTTTATTTAAGACTTTGATTAACTAAAAAAAAACGGAAACTTCAAGTGTTTTTTGTCAAGATCTGTGTCTTCACTAAAAGTAAAAATGGGCAGAGCGACAGAGACGGTAAACTGGAATGATTATCCTGTCAGACAATTAGATATGACGTAATATCTGAAATGTGGACCCGGCCCTATCAGAAAGTTGCTATCAGAAACAATGCCCGACTGTTTTGGACGTAATATGGTCGGTGTTTACATTAGCATCGCTAACACTCAGAGCTAACCTGTACTGGAGAGCATGTGTGTGAAGAAGCAGGAAATAAAAAGGAACTCACCTTGTGGTATAACCGGCAAGAGAGAAAGCCTTTGAGCTCCATACTGTTTCAGAAAGAATCCTTGATAATCCATGATATGGCGTTTCATCACGGCAGTATTTAGTTTAGACGGTAGCTGCCGGGTCCCGCATGAGCTCAGCCCCCTCCTTTTTTATTTTATAACAATTTTTTTAAAGCTTCACACCCCAAATCAGCACTTTAGAAACAGGAAGTGAAATAGAGGGATATGAGGCATGGCTAGAATGGGTGATCTGTTTGGTATTTGGAGCAAAACACTTCATAGACATGTTTTTTATATATTTTTATATATTTGAGACCTATTGCCTAAAAATAGCATGATAGGTGACCTTTAAGTTGTTCCGTTTCTGGAAGCTTGCATTCAACATAAAACGTTTGTTGTTGTTGTGTTCCTTTCATCTACCAGTATGTTTTATGTACGTGTATTCCTAAGTGAATAAACATATCTCAGAGTGCCACCTCTCATACTTACAGGTGAGGGTTTCTACTGGAGAAGAGGATCTCTGTCTCCATGTCATCTTCATCATCATCGTCTCCCTCCTCATCCACAAACTCCTCGTCCTCCCCCTCGACTTCTCCCTCCTTCTTCTTCTCCTCCTTCTCCTCCTCCTCAGTGAGCTTCTCCTTGTAGTAAAGTTCGTCCACTTCCTGTCCGGGCCGAGTGTCGATCATAAAGAGCCCGTCCACAGCTTCAGGTGTGATGGAGGGTCCTGCTTTCTCCACCTCTTCAGAAACTTCCCTCTCCTCCTCCTCTTCCTCCTCCTCCTCTTCGTCCTCGCTGCTCTCCAACAGACTGATAACTTTAATCTTCTTCACGATGACATCTTCAGCTTCCTGCTCAGCTTCAGACTCCACGATGATGCTCGGCTTCTGGCTGGATGTCACCTGAATATCTTCCACTTCAGAGGATTCGACTTCTTTCTGAGCGTCCGCCTGCAAAGAGCTCACGTCCATCTTTTCCACCACGACATCTTCCGTCTCCTGCTTCCCTTCCTCCTCAGGTGTTGTCACAGTAACGGACGTCTGTGATGGAGGGATTTCTTCCTGCATCACCTCCTCCTCCTCCTCCTCCCCCTCCTTCTCGTCTGCACACGGCTCCTCCTGCTGGTGAACCACAGTCACTGCAGCCTCTTCAGGTTCTCTTTCTGATATCAGAGGAGACGTAACGGGGTCACCAGAGTCATCGTCTGAAATTACCACAACTGCCATGTCCTCGCTCAATGGGACCTCAGTGATGCTCACACCTGCTTTTTCTCCTCCTACTGTTACATCTTCCTCAACTGCTTCACTTAATGTAATAAAAGCAGTGTCTACACCTTCTTCTATCTTCTCTTCCTCCACCAGGCTCTTCTCCCCCTCCAGAACAGAACAGTCCGCAGCAATCACGGTGTTTTCTAGCCTAGAATCATTTAAAGAAAAGTCGCCCTGCTCTATTTTCTCCAGGATAACGCTGCAGTCCTGTGCGGAGCTCCTGGTGGTTCTGCTGCTGGGCGTCCCTTTGCTCGGGGAGTGAATCTCCATCGGCTCAGAGTCCGAGGCGTTGGATCGGGTCTTTAATCCTCTGCGAGTCGTCATACTGGAAGTCGGTCCGGACTCGAAGCCGTCGGAGTCACATGACGGCGGCTCGCTGACGTCTACAGCGCCTCTGGGGATCAGGCTCCGTCGAGATCGTGGAGACCTGGATCCTTCTGAGGCTTCCTCCAGGTGGATGGGGATCGGACCTGCGACACAAAAGAGTTTTACTTGTTTAGTTACTTTCATAATATCACAATGTTTATCTCGTCTTTGCTAAGCTTGGTAAATCGTCTGTTTGCCAGCTCACAGAGGACCCCAACGTTTTATGATAGAAATGTGTGGTAGGGTCTCCAGCACATAGAAACTGCCGGATGCTAACCTGCAGATGATGGGCAATTTGCACAAGTTGCATTAATGAGTATATGCAGACAATAGTTCAAACATGTCTTCACCTGGTTACTGCTGACAGTTATGGAGTGTTTTGGGAGGTTAAATCCATTTCTGATATTTTCAGATTGAAAAATGGCAGTTTTAACCAGAAAGTGGCCACATTTCTACTTTTAGGGGACTCAAAACTACAATTTGTTTTATCCTAAAATCTCAGAAATTGATTCATATTGATACAACGTAAACTCGTCTTTCACTCTGAAGACATTTTGCTCTCTGATTGGACTTTCTTGCAAGAATAAAGTACTACAAAGACAGCTGAATGGTTTGATTCTTTATCCACACATTTGATAAACTAAACCCCCCCCCCCCCCCCCACAGACCTGTTTGCCTCCTGATCCTTGTGCTCCTGCGGGTGGTGGATCTCGCTGCTGAGGCGCTCGACAAACAGCTGTCTGCGTCTGATATCTCCGAGTCCTCCGGCGGTTTAGTTGCGGAGGATCTGGTGCGAGCAGGTTTCCTCTGACTCCTGGTGACTCTCGTGGACTCGGACACCACGGAGCTGCACGAATCATTCCCTAAATTGGGGTCTTCCGCCTCAATAGGAGCCGTGTGAGAGCTCGGAGGCACGGCTTTCTTCCTGGTGCTGCGGCGAGATCCTGAAACTGCAGAGGAGCATGACTCCACCTCAGAGATCTCCTCCTGGCTGAGGGTTTGCATCTTCATCCCTCTGGTACGGGTCATCGGTATTTCCATGGAGACCACAGAGCAGCACGACTCCGCGTCCGAAGCGCCGGCCTCGTGCACGGATCCTGCGGGCGTGCACGGCTGCTCGGGGCTGTGCAGTCTGGAGGCTTTGGAGCATCTCTTCAGGGAGGGAGTGGGGGAGGAGGGTAGGGGGGAGGAAGTTTGACTGCTTTCCTGTTGGATGCTGGTTTCCTCCTGAGCTCCATGCTGGGTCGGGCTCTCGGCTGCTGGTTTAACGGTGACTCTGCTCCTGGTTCTTCGAGTGGAAGGAGTTTCCTGTGGAGCAGAAATAAGAAACTTATTAATAAAGACCAGAGATGGCAAAGTACACTCATCCTTTACTCAAGTAGAAATACAGATACTCATGTTTAAAAATACTCTGGTAAAAGTAGAAGTACTGACTAAACTTCTTTACTCAAGTAAAAGTAAAGAGGGCTTTGAAATGTACTTCAGTAAAAAGTACCCATAACTAGCAGCTGTTTTAAAGAGTACCTGACCTCCCTTTATATTAATAGAACAATAATGTCATTGTTAGCTAATGAATGTTTCCATGCTGAACAACGGCAACATGACAACGTTTTCATTGGTCCCTCTTCTTTAGAGAAGACCAGGAAATGATGGATACACGGATCGTGTTCAAATCAATAGGCACGCAATGACTCTAAATAATAATGATCACGCCACCAGACACACATTCAAACTAAAGGAACCAGCCTGTTTGGGAAATGTGAGAAGTAGAAAGTACAGGTATTTGGGTTCAACATGTAAGAAGTAGAAAGTACAGGTATTTGAGTTCAACATGTAAGAAGTAGAAAGTACAGGTATTTGTGTTCAACATGTAAGAAGTAGAAAGTACAGGTATTTGGGTTCAACATGTAAGAAGTAGAAAGTACAGGTATTTGAGTTCAACATGTAAGAAGTAGAAAGTACAGGTATTTGTGTTCAACATGTAAGAAGTAGAAAGTACAGGTATTTGTGTTCAACATGTAAGAAGTAGAAAGTACAGGTATTTGAGTTCAACATGTAAGAAGTAGAAAGTACAGGTATTTGTGTTCAACATGTAAGAAGTAGAAAGTACAGGTATTTGAGTTCAACATGTAAGAAGTAGAAAGTACAGGTATTTGAGTTCAACATGTAAGAAGTCAAAGTAAAAAGTAGTGGAGTAAAGTACTGATACCAGAAAAATGTGCTTAAGTACAGTAACGAAGTATTTGTACTCCACTACTTCCCACCTCTGATAGAAACGGCTCAACTGTTATCATGAAGGACAAAGGAGGGGACACTCAAATGTTTCCTTATCACTAATCCCTCTTTCCTCTTATTGAGGACACTAACATTTAGGGTCTAGCTCCTCTCAGCTGTTGGAGAAGAACTCCTTTAAATCTCTACTTACATTTTGAATGCTCTAATTTCATCCTGATGTTGTAACTATTAGCAATGCCCCTTTAACTGATCACATGTATCAATAAAATGCTTTTTTCATTTTGACTTATACTCAAGAAATGTTAAAACACATCCCTGGTTTATTCGGTGTTACACATTATTTAATTGCATGACCTTGACATAACATTTTTATATCCACTATTCGACACGAGTACAAATGGTTAAATGTATTAAATGTGTGGAGGGAAACCATAGAGAGGCGAAGTCCCTCCCTCTCCGGGGGACCTCCATGGGACCTTATTTCGGAAAAAGTATGTATTGAAGTCAATGGAGAGAGAAAGATTATCTTTCGATCCCGTTTGAATTGTGCCACGAATTACACATATGATGTTTGTCAATTTAAAAGATAATTTTACAAGTCAAAAAAATTAAAATGTGTCGTAAAACTGTGAAGTAACACTTTTTTTGTGTGAAACCACTCAATGAACTACATCTCCCGTCTCACACCACACACCAAGACGGCCGTCACGTTGGCACATTTCACTTCTTTCTTTCAGAATGAGGCGGAAAGTATTAAAAGAGGTGAAAATCACTCCAAGTCTGGGCGTGTTGAGAGCTGTACATACACACAAGGGGAGTTAGTCGGTTCCTAAGAGCCAGCATGCGGGACCGGGATTCTGGGATTTGTAGTCTTTCTAGTTGCATATTTTTCATAGTCTTATATTTCAACAGTTTTACGACAAACTGTGACTTTTTTAACATGGAAATTATTTTTTAAGATTGATAAACATCATATGTGTAATTCGTGGCACAACTCAAACGGGATCGAAAGATAATCTTTCTCTCCCCATTGACTTCAATACATACTTTTTCCGAAATAAGGTCCCATGGGTCGGAAGTAGATGGGCGGGACTTCGCCTCTCTATAGTAACAATTCAAACGTATAGGATAAATATATCCTGTTTTGAGCTTTTAGTTGTTAAATGTAAATGCCTTTGTGAATCTAAAAAAACTCAAAACACATTTGTACAAGTTAGCCTTTTAGGAAGCTACCTCCTGCTCTCTCACCTGACTGAATTGTATTTGCACTATCCTCCTTTTAATGCACTTTTAATCTAAATGTATTTTTGATATGTCTATTCTATGGTTTGTTTTTATTTGTGATGTGCATTTTCTGTGAGTATTTTAAGAGATGTCTACTGAGAACAACTTTGGACTGCAATTATTGTATGAAAGGTGTAATACAAATAAAGATTATTACTACAAAGTTGTGCAGTATAGTAGTGCAGCTCTAAACAGAGGTACAAGATAAAATGGCTTTGGTTACACAGTCAACACTAACTTCATGTTGTTGTTTTAACAGCACTTGTTGACAATAAGACACTTACACACAAGTCCATAAGTGCTTTAGAAGTAATCTAGTAGTTGTTTAGTGAACGGTATCTGACTCTTAAGACTGTAGCTTTCTGCACAATTCGGAATATATATATATTTTTAAATTATAAACAAAAGACCATACGTGGTGTCATTAAACGCTGTGTGAACAGGACCGTCTTATTTATTAAATATGTTTTGTTTTCACCACATTTGTCAAAACATTAACAAACTCTGAAGTAAAGAAGGTCCACGTGAACTCCGAGCAGCTGGAGCACGAGCTAACTGACACGTGCCGGGGCTCCTCCACCTCCGTTATGAAACCTTTAAACACTCTCTGAACATTCACAGGTTAAGTAACATCTCTGTTTGTCACGAACCTGGACTTCAGAGGACGGCTCCGGGTTGGTTTTATTCGGTGAGCACACGCGTACTCCTCTCCTGGTGGCCACCATCTTGCATGCTGTTGGCTTCTCTGTCACTTCCGGCTTGAAGACTAGACCGAAGTAAGTAATCGATGAAGGGAAATAAGATACAGGCGGAGCAAACGATCGCAGAGTGGTGATCCAAATGTAAAGACTTAAAGAAACATTTACCACGCGGATGTGAATGGAAATTATTTGTTAGGATATCAAGAAGACACTGGATTACAAGTATTTTTGCATTGGCCGATACTGAATAGTTTCTGGCCAAACCTCTGTGTTTTTATTATTTAAAATATGAAAGAGTGTTGTCTTGCTTTGAGTGTTTATTAGCCGACTGGAAAATAAAACAATGACAATTATTCAAATGATATTGCCTTTAGCAATGAGTTCCTTTCTGTACATGTACTTACTTATAAGCACTTGTGGGAGAAATACTCAGATCTTGTACTTGAGTAAAAGTAGAAGTACACAGATCTTGTACTTGTGTAAAAGTAGAAGTACTCAGATCTTGTACTTGAGTAAAAGTAGAAGTAGGCCTACTCAGATCTTGTACTTGAGTAAAAGTAGAAGTACTCCGATCTTGTACTTGAGTAAAAGTAGAAGCACTCAGATCTTGTACTTGAGTAAAAGTAGAAGTACCAGAGTGTAGGAATACTCTGTTACAGTAAAAGTACTGCATTCAAAATGTTCCTCAAGTAAAAGTATAAAAGTATTATCATCAAAATATAGTTAAAGTAGCGACAGTAAAAGTAGTCATTGTACAGATTGGTCCATTTCAGAATAATATCAGGGTTCTTACACCTTTTCCAAAGTCAAATTCAAGCACTTTTCAAGCATTTTCAAGGTGCATTTCAAGCTTATCAAGCATCTTACAGCTGTTTTAAATTACATATTTATATACACATACTTATCCTCAAATGATTATTTCCCTACCTCACATTAAATCAGATGTTCTTTATGCTATAAACAACCAAATGTGTGTTTTGTGATAGCATTCTACATGAGGATGATAAATTAAAGAAAAAGAAAACAAAGTGTAATATTTCAAAATGAGTGACCCATCTGTAAGTAGACTGGGCATCCCATATAGAGAGCCGCAGTGACGCGTCCTAAAACCCGGAAGTAAACTTCTTCCGGTTCCTTCGACAAAAACGCAATGCAATTTCTCCATAGGATTTAGGAAAATAGCTGGAAATAAGGTCTGTGTTTGAGACACATTTAAGAGACGGATCACGTTTTGTTCAGCCGGATAATATCCACATCTCTTATAATTTTCTAATCATAAATCTATCGATCATAAATCTATCGATTAGATTTATGAAAAGTAGGGTAGACATGTGGAGATTATCCGGCTGAACAAAACGTGATCCGTCTCTTAAATGTGTCTCAACCACAGACCTTATTTCCAGCTATTTTCCAAAATCCTATGGAGAAATTGCATTGCGTTTTTGTCGAAGGAACCGGAAAAAGTTTACCTCCGGGTTTTAGGACGCGTCACTGCGGTTCTCTATAACCAGATCTTCATCAGGCATTACAGATATATTTTCATGACTTTTTATGACATGCAAAACTGTTTTAGAAAATCTGTATCAAACTTTTATGGCACACTGTACTATGACATTTCTTCACCATTTCTATACAAATTTAATTTCAAATTTTTTGTATTACTTTTTTATAACATAACCACTGTGATATTGTATACCACTTTTAAATAAAATGACACTTTATTTAATGATTTTGAAATGAGATACTCTACTTTTCCATTTCCATAGCAAACTTAACTATGAATATAATATTTTTGACATTTAATGTCATTTTTATTACATCCTTTACTATGACAACTTGTAATGTATGTTTGTTTTTGTTTTTTTTATAACTTTTTTTATGTCTGCTATACTTAGACTTTTATTTTCTAAGACATACTGTTCATTTTATACATTTTTATATATTTCATTCAACTTTTTCATGACATACTATCCTATAAGATTTGTCATTTAAAACACCCTCAGTTGACCAAAGTGCTGTACAGGGAACAAATACAACATAGAATATCTTGTTTAAAATAAAGCATTAAGTATAACAAGTTGAAGGGTGCAGTGTCAGGTTATTTTCTGATCATTAAATCACAGATCACATTTTAACCCCCCTCTCCCCCTCTCTCTCTCTTCCCCCCTGCAGCTTCCTTATTCGGCTGGGCTGCGCAGGCTGCCTGGACTACTTCACAGCACAAGGCTTAAGCAACATCTACCAGATTGAGAACTATAACATGGAGGTGAGCCCTTGCCTATCCAACAGCAGTCATTTGATGGGTTAAAAGCAGAAGATACAGAAGATAGAATCCCACCCACCCACTACGCATACTAAATCTCCCCTGTGTGTCGACCAATAGGACCTGTCCCGGATGAAGATTCCCGCCGAGTACCAGCACTCCATCTGGAAGAGCATCATGGAGCACCGGCAGGCCATGGACTTCTCCACCCCCCCCACATAGTGCGCACCACCAGCAGGGCGTCCACCATCAGCATGGGCTCCTCCGAGGCCCGAGGCGAGCGCGTGATCGACGCCGTGCGCTTCACCCTCCGGCAGACCATCAGCTTCCCGCCGCGCGACGAGTGGTCCGACTTCTCCTTCGACCTGGACTCCCGCCGCAACAAACAGCAGCGAATCAAGGAGGAGGGGGAGTGAGGCGTTCAAATCTCACCCCCAAATCTCACCCCCAATCTCACCAACCCCACGTCTGTCATTTCACGCCTGCTGTACGAACATTTCTCTGGGTCAGAGTGGTGCAGGGATGACGTGATTCTCTAGGCTCTAAACTGGTTCCCTCGCCAATTGGATTATCCCCAAAAGAATAATCTCTGTGGCAAACACACGGCTATAATACTTATACGCTTTGTTCAACTGGATAATCCACATTCATTAACACCACTTTAATGATTTTTGAAGCATAAATGCAAAGGTAAAAAGCTAACGTTAGGCTATCAAGTAGCTATCATGCGCGGTAGCATGACTTGGCGGCTAAGCTAACGGCGGCTAATCAGAAACAAGTTTATTGCCAGGTACGTTTACAAATAAAAGGAATTTGCTGCACACATAAACACAATGTTTATTTGTTAAAATGTTTGGCATAATGACATCAAGCAGTCTCGTTAGCCACTTGTTAGCACGGCCATTTTTAAGACACACAAAAAGCTTCATACATTCACCAGAGGGATATCAACTGATACATGTTAAGGCGTAGAACAAAACCTAAAAATATCTACAGCTTGTGTTTACCACAGATTTTATTTCAGGCATGTAAAATAAAAAAAACTTCAAGACAAGGGAACCCACAAATGCTGACTCATTTCTGTGTTTTAGGACTCATTCCTGCACCACTCTTAGTGCAAACAAAAAACCTGCAAAGGAACAAAAATCACATTCACATAAAAGTGCACTTACTTTGCATTTTTGTTCTCGTTAAATCGCAGAGGAAAGCAACACGCGGCGTTGAGCGAGAGGTGCATTTTATTATGTTCTAATTTCTTGAGAGCACTTAAGAAATGCTGAGGATTTTCAAGCTTCATTTTCTTTATATGATTCATTCCCATTTAAGAGCTTGACTGGAAACCAAACTGGCATTAGAGGGGATTTATAAGGGCTTTCTTTCTGCAGCGACTACGTGTATTTGTATTGTTTCTGGTTATGCAGGTTAGACACTGGTTTTCATTTTAAGTCAGCATTGATTGTAAACATTTCAAACGTTTCCTGTCAGAAGTATTATGTCAATTGATGGGCGATTTCGTGTTTCTGCTTCTATAATTTGCTCTTTTTTTTACGTCTATTGTGAGATCAGCTGTTTGTGAAGTATGTGTTAAAGAGACAGATGTAGCCACTTATAGGCGTTTATGCTCTTGACCCAGTGTTTTTACTATGACTGATGTCCTGCTGTGTTTCCGCCTGATTTAATGCACAAGTGGATTAAATCAGAGTTATTTTTCTACGTATGAACCATGTTTTGGGGTTTATTTCATTTGATAACTGGCCAAAACCTGATAGATGTATATATATTTGTATAGTTCCTTTTTCTTTTATATAAAGTCTCCCTTATTAAAAAAAGTAATCAAGCATAATGATGTGAATATAACTCAGTAAGAACAAAGTTTGTATTGATTCTCCGTCACCAGCCCTTTGTCTCAGTAGCCAGCATTATTAGAAAAAGCAGAGCGTTTTTTTCATGTTTTTGTACAATGTTTTGTAAATATGATGCAATATACCACGGGTATTTTGATATAAATCTGAAATAAATATCCATACTTGCTGTATCGCATGTTGAAACTCCATCTTGTCAATTTATTTCAACTTGTAAATATTCCTTTTTGTGGTTTCAAAGGTTAGTGACACTGATGTGGGAAAATACTGCATTTCATTTAGATTATTAGGGTCTAAACTAAGGATTTCAAATGTCTAAATGTTGACTTATTTCTTAATATCTGTTAGCATTATATATGACGTAATATCTGAAATGTGGACCCACGGCCCTATCAGAAAGTTGCTATCAGAAACAATGCCCGACTGTTTTGGACGTAATATGGTCGGTGTTTACATTAGCATCGCTAACACTCAGAGCTAACCTGTACTGGAGAGCGTGGCCCTTTCTCATTTCACTAATTCCCCTCCTCGACTCCCCTCCTCGACTCCCCTCCTTGACTCCTATCCTCGAGACTTAGTCCCGCCCACAGGAGATGCGAGCGGAGGAGCCGAGGAGAGAGGAGGGGAAGCAGCAGGCGGTTAGAGAAATGAGAACTCCTCTCCTCTGAGCGGTCATTTTAAAGAGACGTCCATTAATGATGACAGGAGGCACAGCAGCCCTCTGTCTGATGGACAGATGTGTTCATGACGACTTATATATTTACTTCATTGACAGTGCGGTATAATGAGACAATAACAGGCTACAGATGCAGACATATACACACACATTTATATATATTTATATAAATATATATAATTTCACTCTCATAATAACGTAACACTATCAGAGACTGGATATATCCCCCCCCCCCCCCCCCAGAGGACACCAAACCAACTGAGACCTGTCTGTCCGCTGCATCTACGCACACACTGAACCACACACACCTACACCACACACGCACCCACCTAAAGCATATCAGGCTACAGCCGTTCTGTATTTTATTATGTGAAGCACTAAATGGTTTTAGAAAAATATTGAGTCTTTGTTTGTAGATATCTACTAAACTAAAGCAAATAAAGAGAGTAGGCCTGTTATACTGAGTGATATATATTTTACACACTGCTCTGCTTTCTGCACGGACCTCACAGCTGTTCTCACTGTAAACATTGCGTCGCGATGAAAGCAGTTAATAAAACAATATCCAGGGGATGCATGCAGAGCTGTCATTGGCTGAGATAAGTCCGGCCGTGCGTCACGAGAAACATCTCTGTTCCCGGAAATGCATCCACGAAGGAGCCGTGGAGGACCGTGGAGGACCCATCAGTGTATCCTCGGTTATAGCTCCTCCAGAGAGCCTCCTCGACACTCGATCCTCGGTCCTCGAAGTGCATTTCGAGAAATGAGATGTCCTTCAACATGGCGCGCTGAAATTCATTTCCGGGTCACTACCGGAGGACCGAGGAGTTGAGGAGTTGAGGAGTCGAGGAGGGGGAATTGATGACATGAGAAAGGGCCCATGTGTGTGAAGAAGCAGGAAATAAAAAGGAACTCACCTTGTGGTATAACCGGCAAGAGAGAAAGCCTTTGAGCTCCATACTGTTTCAGAAATAATCCTTGATAATCCATGATATGGCGTTTCATCACCGCAGTATTTAGTTCTAAACTAAACATTTAAAATGTCTAAATGTTGACTTATTTCTAAATAACTGTTGAAAAGCATTAATGTAAAAATATATAATAATGCAATTGCAAGAATTGAAATGTACAAAGTTCCTTTATAGAGACAGCAATCAGTAAATAGTGTCTTATTTTAATTTGAATAATACATTTACTTAATTAACTTGTAATCTTTTTATTAGGATTATAATACTGCTTCTAGTATCTGTTGTCCAGCGCTCCATCTTTTAATCTCTTTCTCTCTCTTCAACCTCCTTAGTTAATTATAGTGTTTAATAGCAGTCTCTACTACTGTCATAATGACCTCTGAAATGTCTGAATTGACCAATCAGAATCAAGTATTCAACTAAGCCATGTATATAAATATCAATACATTTCAAGGAGTATAACAAGTATATTCTGCACCTTGAATATTAAGTATTTTCCAGACAGTTTTTTTGTGTTTACGAGTTTTTTTATCCCAAATGTAATTGTAATTATCAAAATAGTGGCAGATTATTTTTCTGACGGTCAGGGTTCGAGTTACGTGGGAGCCAATGGGAGCTGAGCTCCCATAAGGAGGGGCCTGAGCTCCCACGGACCCAGTAAATTTAACATCTGTGGGGGTCGCTAATATACATTACCAACAACCATTATTTTGATCACAAATAATGCATTTTTCAATGTAATGAGTATTATTTACGTTAACGAGGTAAATAGGCAAACAAAACAACGTTTTCCAAAAGAACTACGCATCGTATTCTCTCTTGAATGACAATATGCCTGCACTTCACCTCTAAGGTGCGCAATAAAATATTGCGCAATCTATGCCTGTGAGGCTGTGAACGTGCTGCGCGCGCCCGAAGAATGAACCGTTATATCAACAGACATTCAAATATATTGACAGGATACACACATACATACTATGAGTACCGTAGGCTAGCAGACGATTAGCATGCCGCCCAAAAAAAGGCCACTGCCGCCGACGGGGTCTACAAGCCTGGCTAGTTTTGGTTTTCTCACAAAGAAACAAAAAACAGCTTTTGACAACCAAAATGCACCTGCTAGCGTGACAACTAGTACTAACCTTGCTGCTACGGAGGATGCTGTCTTTGCTAGCGGACCTGATGCTGTTGAATGTGGGACCACCAGCACACACGTAGAAAGTTCCGAAGCAGAGCGGTATGAGGAGGCAGGAGGTACTGCTACAGAAGGACCGCCACTTAACTGGGGACACAATCAGTGGAGATCCTGGAAAGAAAGAAACCCCTGGCTGTTTTCAAAGGAGGGTGGTCTTGGATGCCTCGTCTGTAAGGAAACCAAGACTCTCTTACTTTCGGAGAAAAAATATGGAACGCATTTGGCGGATGCCTGGATCAATGGGACTGTGAGTAGCCCTGTGCAGAAGCAGTTGCGAAAAAATTTTACATACACCGCGACTCTATTGCTCATAAACGAGCTGTTGAAATAGCGGAGCTCAAACTAAAAGAAGTGCTTCCGAAGAAAGTTGCAGAACTCAGCTCCAGCATGTTTAATGAGACAGCTAGTTCGTTCAGGGCAGCCTATACTGTCGCTAAAGAAAGGTTGCCTTATACAAAATTGAATCCCATTATGCAACTTAATGAAATGAATGGTGCGACAGTCGGCCCTGCTCACAGATCCGATCATTCATGTGCCCAGATTGTAGAGCACATTGCACAAGAGATGAAAAAGACATTTATTTCTAATATCAAATCACTTGATTCCCGTATTAGTCTAACACTAGACGAAAGCACAATTCATGGACGCGCATACATGATTATTTATGTCAGGTGCGATGTCACTGGGAATGGAGAATTGGACAATGTGTATTTTGACATTGTTGAACTGGACCAGGGCACTGATGCAGAGTCGCTGTGTAGCGCACTGAAAAACAGCCTCCAGGCGGGGGGAATGGATGAAGAGTTTCTTCGTAAAAACCTAATTAGCATAGCCACAGACGGTGCTGCCGTGCTAACCGGGAGACAGACTGGACTCATAGCCAGGCTGAAAAAGGATTTCCCTCGTCTTCAGGCAGTTCATTGTCTAGCTCATCGTTTGGAATTAGCGGTGAATGATTCATTGAAGGCTGTGGCAGGCTGTAATCATTTAGAGTTTTTCCTCGCTAAACTCTATTCTCTTTACCACCAGTCCACGAAAAACGCCAGGGAGTTAGAGGAAGCGGCTGCGGAACTGAACATGCAGATTCTGAAAATCGGACAAGTCTTTACAATTAGATGGGTTTCCAGCAGTTACAACACTGTCAAAGCTGTGCTGAAGGACTTCCCAGTGTTAGCACATCACTTTAAATCTGCGAGTGAAGATGGCTCACGTTCTGGTGCAGAGAAAGCCAAGTACGCTGGTTTACTAAAGCATCTGACATCCACTGGATTCCTCACTGATTTAGCGACAATGAAAGACGTGTTACGTGAACTACAAAGTCTCTCTCTGAAACTACAGAAACGCGACACGTCCCTGGTTGATGCAAGCCGCTACATACATCATACGATCGAGGTGCTCTCTGCCACGAAGGACAACGATGGGAAAACTGAACTAAAAGTCAAAGCGGGCATAACAAGCGGCCAGTTCAAAGGGGTTGATATTAGAGAAACTCAACCTAAAGTAAAGAAGTCCCAATTTTACCAGTCAATCATTGATAATCTCACCAGGCGTCTTCCCGATAGTGAGCTGGTAACTATGTTGAAGCCTATGGATCAGCACTTCTGGCCAAAAGAGAGGACAGAGCTTGTTCTGTTTGGAGAAAGGGAGGTGGGGAAGTTTGCTAAACTTCTCGGAGAGTCCGCAACTGAAGCTGTCAGTGAGTTCAGAGACTGGAAACTACAACAACAAGGCAAGGAACATCAGGGTAAAACCTTGAAAAGACTGATAGTGGCGAGCAACACTGTTCTTCCGACATCTGCAGAGTGCGAGAGGGGCTTTTCTGCATGCAATGACACCGACTGTAAGACCAGGAACCGGCTGCGAGCCAGAAGCCTCAACGCATTGTTGTTTGTGGATTTAAATGGGCCTCCTATCAACAAATTTGACCCTTTCCCATTCATCCAATCGTGGATAAATAAAGGACATCGGACTTCCACATCATGGGTTCCAGGACCGCGACCACAGCCTGCTGAAAACAGACCACTTTGGGCTATTTTATCTGCGTAAAGGTATGGGCGTGTGTGTGTCTGTGTCTGTCTGTGTGTGTGTGTGTGTGTGTGTGTGTGTGTTTGTTTGTTTGACCACGTAATTAGCAGTGAAGTCAGTCTCTCTCTCTCTCGTTTTATCTGTGAGAGCTAATTTTTGTATTTTCTTTATAGCTCTTACGTTGTTATTGATTGTGTACGAGTTCATGTGTTTGAGCATGGCAGTCTGTCCTGAAGTTGTGGAGAGAGTAAAACGTAATAAACGGAGGCGCTGTTTGTGACGCTCCACAAGTACAGAGTTCCTGAGTTTTTGTGATTTTGTAATTATCTT